TATCATAAAGTAAACTAGAGTAACCTGCAGTAAAGTATCATAAAGTAAACTAGAGTAACCTGCAGTAAAGTATCATAAAGTAAACTAGAGTAACCTGCAGTAAAGTGTCATAAAGTAAACTAGAGTAACCTGCAGTAAAGTATCGTAAAGTATCATAAAGTAAACTAGAGTAACCTGCAGTAAAGTATCATAAAGTAAACCAGAGTAACCTGCAGTAAAGTATCATAAAGTAAACCAGAGTAACTTACAGTAAAGTATCATAAAGTAAACCAGAGTAACCTGCAGTAAAGTATCATAAAGTAAACCAGAGTAACCTGCAGTAAAGTATCATAAAGTAAACCAGAGTAACCTGCAGTAAAGTATCATAAAGTAAACTAGAGTAACCTGCAGTAAAGTATCATAAAGTAAACTAGAGTAACCTGCAGTAAAGTATCATAAAGTAAACTAGAGTAATCTGCAGTAAAGTATCATAAAGTAAATTAGAGTAACCTACAGTAAAGTATCATAAAGTAAACCAGAGTAACCTGCAGTAAAGTATCATAAAGTAAACTAGAGTAACCTGCAGTAAAGTATCATAAAGTAAACTAGAGTAACCTGCAGTAAAGTATCATAAAGTAAACCAGAGTAACTTACAGTAAAGTATCATAAAGTAAACCAGAGTAACCTACAGTAAAGTATCATAAAGTAAACCAGAGTAACCTGCAGTAAAGTATCATAAAGTAAACCAGAGTAACCTGCAGTAAAGTATCATAAAGTAAACTAGAGTAACCTGCAGTAAAGTATCATAAAGTAAACTAGAGTAACCTGCAGTAAAGTATCATAAAGTAAACTAGAGTAACCTGCAGTAAAGTATCATAAAGTAAACTAGAGTAACCTGCAGTAAAGTATCATAAAGTAAATTAGAGTAACCTACAGTAAAGTATCATAAAGTAAACCAGAGTAACCTGCAGTAAAGTATCATAAAGTAAACTAGAGTAACCTGCAGTAAAGTATCATAAAGTAAACTAGAGTAACCTGCAGTAAAGTATCGTAAAGTATCATAAAGTAAACTAGAGTAACCTGCAGTAAAGTATCGTAAAGTATCATAAAGTAAACTAGAGTAACCTGCAGTAAAGTATCATAAAGTAAACTAGAGTAACCTGCAGTAAAGTATCATAAAGTAAACTAGAGTAACCTGCAGTAAAGTATCATAAAGTAAACTAGAGTAACCTGCAGTAAAGTATCGTAAAGTATCATAAGTAAACTAGAGTAACCTGCAGTAAAGTATCATAAAGTAAACCAGAGTAACCTGCAGTAAAGTATCATAAAGTAAACCAGAGTAACTTACAGTAAAGTATCATAAAGTAAACCAGAGTAACCTACAGTAAAGTATCATAAAGTAAACTAGAGTAACCTGCAGTAAAGTATCGTAAAGTATCATAAAGTAAACTAGAGTAACCTGCAGTAAAGTATCATAAAGTAAACTAGAGTAACCTGCAGTAAAGTATCATAAAGTAAACCAGAGTAACCTGCAGTAAAGTATCATAAAGTAAACCAGAGTAACCTGCAGTAAAGTATCATAAAGAAAACCAGAGTAACTTACAGTAAAGTATCATAAAGTAAACCAGAGTAACCTACAGTAAAGTATCATAAAGTAAACCAGAGTAACCTGCAGTAAAGTATCATAAAGTAAATTAGAGTAACCTACAGTAAAGTATCATAAAGTAAACTAGAGTAACCTACAGTAAAGTATCATAAAGTAAACTAGAGTAACCTGCAGTAAAGTATCATAAAGTAAATTAGAGTAACCTACAGTAAAGTATCATAAAGTAAACTAGAGTAACCTGCAGTAAAGTATCATAAAGTAAACTAGAGTAACCTGCAGTAAAGTATCATAAAGTAAACTAGAGTAACCTGCAGTAAAGTATCATAAAGTAAACTAGAGTAACCTGCAGTAAAGTATCATAAAGTAAATTAGAGTAACCTACAGTAAAGTATCATAAAGTAAACCAGAGTAACCTGCAGTAAAGTATCATAAAGTAAACTAGAGTAACCTGCAGTAAAGTATCATAAAGTAAACTAGAGTAACCTGCAGTAAAGTATCGTAAAGTATCATAAAGTAAACTAGAGTAACCTGCAGTAAAGTATCATAAAGTAAACTAGAGTAACCTGCAGTAAAGTATCATAAAGTAAATTAGAGTAACCTACAGTAAAGTATCATAAAGTAAACTAGAGTAACCTGCAGTAAAGTATCATAAAGTAAACTAGAGTAACCTGCAGTAAAGTATCGTAAAGTATCATAAAGTAAACTAGAGTAACCTGCAGTAAAGTATCATAAAGTAAACTAGAGTAACCTGCAGTAAAGTATCGTAAAGTATCATAAAGTAAACTAGAGTAACCTACAGTAAAGTATCATAAAGTAAACCAGAGTAACTTACAGTAAAGTATCATAAAGTAAACTAGAGTAACCTACAGTAAAGTATCATAAAGTAAACTAGAGTAACCTGCAGTAAAGTATCATAAAGTAAACTAGAGTAACCTGCAGTAAAGTATCATAAAGTAAACTAGAGTAACCTGCAGTAAAGTATCATAAAGTAAACTAGAGTAACCTGCAGTAAATATCATAAAGTAAACTAGAGTAACCTACAGTAAAGTATCATAAAGTAAACTAGAGTAACCTACAGTAAAGTATCATAAAGTAAACTAGAGTAACCTGCAGTAAAGTATCATAAAGTAAACTAGAGTAACCTGCAGTAAATATCATAAAGTAAACTAGAGTAACCTACAGTAAAGTATCATAAAGTAAACTAGAGTAACCTGCAGTAAAGTATCATAAAGTAAACCAGAGTAACCTGCAGTAAAGTATCATAAAGTAAACTAGAGTAACCTACAGTAAAGTATCATAAAGTAAACTAGAGTAACCTGCAGTAAAGTCTCATAAAGTAAACCAGAGTAACCTACAGTAAAGTATCCTAAACTAAAGTAAACTAGAGTAACCTACAGTAAAGTATCATAAAGTAAACTAGAGTAACCTGCAGTAAAGTATCATAAAGTAAACTAGAGTAACCTGCAGTAAAGTATCATAAAGTAAACTAGAGTAACCTGCAGTAAAGTATCATAAAGTAAACTAGAGTAACCTGCAGTAAAGTATAAACTAATAATCTTGATGACCCACACAGAGGAGGTCTGGAACATATGATATTAAATCAGCTGACCTCATCTGCAGAGAGGATCAGTTATTGATCAGACACGTGAGCAGCTCAGTAATAAACCCAGGTGTGTTTACCTGAGGTTCTGATCCAGCTGAGCAGTCTGGGGAGCTCGGACGGGGTCACGTGGCTCAGCAGCTGCTTCACTCTGGATTTGGCTTCAGAAAAATCCATGCTGGGACCCAGACCCGTTTCTGGTCCAGGTTCAGACCTCCAGACGCAGCTCTCAGAAACGGGGTCTGGATTTAAGGTGGAACCTGAAAGTCACGTCTGTCACTTCTTATCAGTTCTATCAAAGACGTATTTAGTTGTTCACGTGATGATGCAGTTACAAGGTGACGTAAGCGCAGATGAGACATTAAAGAACAGGTAGATCCAAAATCACGTCCGCATCACACGTTCAGACCACCTTAAGAGACCCGGAAGTGCTTGAGTTTCTTCTTCTTCTTGAGTTTTATTGGCGGTTAGCAAATGAGTCGGACGCACTAGCGACCCCAGCTGGACCGGATCAGACTGACTGGTATTATTGGTCAGTCTCAGGTCCTGAACCAGGATTCTTTCAGATCATCTGTTAAATCAAAGTTTACTTTTATCTTTCTGATGTTTGTATCACAGAAACACAACCTGCAGGTTCTTGCTGCCTTCAGGAGTCACACCTGAGTCCTGATCACCTGTTTAACTAACCCGGTTCAGTCCAGTGAGTCTGGATGCAAGACCTGTTCCTTCCTCTTCTTCAGTCTCTCTTTAACACACCAACCTCTGTGTTAAAGACAGACTGAACAGGACATGAGAGAAGTGAGAGGCTCGGGGGCCTGCAGTGGGGGTCCAGGGGGCCTGAAGTGGGGGTCCAGGGGGCCTGCAGTGGGGGTCCAGGGGCCCCTTCCCTACTTCGGGCTGACGTAGCACAGTAACACGTTGTGATTGGCTGCACCACAGGAAGCGTACGAGCTGCAGACTACCGAAGGTCGACTATTTGTGCAGAGAAAGTAAATATCTGTTCAGCACAGAACAAAGATTATAAAGAACTTCAAGAATCAGGATGTTAAAACCTGGATGACCTGTAATTTTCTCATGTTAAACTCAGATAAAACTGAAGTTATTGTTCTGGGGCCTAAGCACCTCCGTGACGCATTATCTAAAGATATAGTTTCCCTGGATGGCATCGCCCTGGCCTCCAGCACCACTGTGAGGAATCTTGGAGTTATCTTTGATCAGGACATGTCGTTTAAGTCTCACATTAAGCAAATTTCAAGGACCGCCTTTTTTTACCTACGTAATATTGCAAAAATTAGGAACATCCTGTCTGAAAATGATGCAGAAAAACTAGTCCATGCATTTGTTACTTTTAGGCTGGATTACTGCAATTCCTTATTATCAGGCTGCTCGAAAAAGTCCATTAAGACTCTTCAGCTGATCCAGAATGCTGCAGCACGTGTTCTGACAGGAACCAGGAAAAGAGATCACATTTCTCCTGTTTTAGCTTCTTTGCATTGGCTTCCAGTAAAATCCAGAATAGAATTTAAAATCATTCTTCTTACCTACAAAGCTCTTAATGGTCAGGCACCATCTTATCTTAAAGAGCTCATAGTACCTTACTACCCCACCAGAGCACTGCGCTCCCAGAATGCAGGGTTACTTGTGGTTCCTAGAGTCTCCAAAAGTAGACTAGGAGCCAGAGCGTTCAGCTATCAAGCTCCTCTCCTGTGGAACCAGGTTCCAGTTTGGGTTCCTTGCTCAGACCTTCACCTCTTCTCACCTGAGAAGGTTCCTGACTGCACTTCACTCAGACAGCTGGTAATAAAAACACTGCAGTTTAAAATGGTGCAATACAAATTTTTATTATATGACAAAAATACTGTCACTAACTAATGTTATCTTCATCATCATCACCATGTGGCGTCTCCTGGCCAATCAGGACAGACTCTGATCCGTTTAAATCTTATACACAAACATCTTATACAGAATTAAATTAACGAGCCCAAAAACAACCAGCTCATCTTCCTCCCCCTCCTCTGCGTCGTTTAAAGGAGCAGTCCAACATCTGGTACCCGTCAGATGTTTCTCTAAAACACCTGAAGAAGAAACTTGCTAAAATGACGAACTGCTTCTTTAAATCAGTGTTTTTTTTTTATTTTCGGTGTGAAGCAGCAGAGGACAGAATCAAACCCCGAACATCCTGCTTTTATTTTCTCTTTCTACACTTCCTGCTCGCTCTCTCTCCCCCTCTCTAAGTCCCGCCCCTCTCCACCTGTCAGGAGGCGGGGCTTTAATTTGAAGGTGTCATATTTTAAGGCAGCTGGTTGGTCGGCGGTCACATGTTGTTAAATCCCATCATGCCTTTCATGTTGCCGGCGGCTCCCTGCTGGAACTGTCGCATCATCGACTGCAGGCCGGCCATCCCACCTGAAACACACAGCACATGACCACAACACGCCGTTTAGTCCGTATGTCGTTACGGGTCAACTGGACCAGGTGTCAGTCTGATCTGTGGGGGGGTATAACATGTTACTATTCCCGTGTTAGCGTCACATCTGAATAAAGTCCCGACACTGTAAGAATCCTCCTGCAGGTGTGATGGACCAGGTGGACTCACCCATGTGGTGCAGGACTCGGGGGTCCATCATTTTGGCCATCTGCTGGTTCAGTTTGGCCATCTGAGACGGGTTCACGTTCTTCGACATGTCTCCTCCTGCAAAACACCAAACACACGTCAGGACAGGTTCAAAGCCGCAGATAAAATCTAAAGCTACAACATTCATAGATTAAATTTAATCTCAGATGTTTTATTATCGATTCATCGCTTCGAGTCATTCTTTAAGAACACAGCTTCTGAAACGTGAAGGTCTCCTTGTGCCTCCGGTGTCACAGTCAACTGGATCTCTTTGGTTTGTGGTCAGAACGAGTCATCGTGGAGCATCGTGCTCAGCCATGATGAATAAAAGCGGCGTTGGCCTCAGGCGGCCGACAGGTGAACGCAGCAGAAGGATTCAGAGACGGGAAACGGCAGCCGTTAGCCAGATGCTAACACGTTACCTTTAAACAGCCCCTTGATGCCGCCCATCTTCTTGACCATCTGGGCGAACTTGGTGTACTGAGTCAGCAGCTCCTGGACGTCTCTGGTGGCGACCCCGGACCCCCGGGCCACCCTCTGGATCCTGTTGGGCTGCTTACTGAACAGTTTGGCTCCGTCTTTACTGTCCAGCTCTGAGGAGGCAGACGGAGATCATGACCCAGTGAAACCAGTACAGGGAGGAGACTGATAATATTTAGCAGTAAGGATTAACACAGACGTTCTGGGGCTGCAGCTGATCAACGCTGTCAACTCATCTGATAACAAGCTCGCTGAGGTTAGCGAGCTTTAGCTTAGCATGCTGCTGATGTCAGTAGAGTGTTACCCTGGTCGTTCATGCTGTCCATGATGGTCATCAGTTTCTTCAGTCGGGCCATTGATTCCTGCTCGTTTCCTTTACTCATGAAGTCGGTACCGAAACCAGGAATCATCCCCTGAACGCATCGCAGACAGAAACAGAACAGTTCATCAGTCGGCTACTTCAGGGTTTCAAACAACAACAACCAACAAGCTTCCTACAAACATGTAAACGTGTCTCGAGCTTCAAAACTCGGGACTTTAAATGTGTTCCAAGGTCACATGACTTAGGCCTTTGTATGTCATGTGACCGTCTAGTCTACAGGTGTGTTCACACAGAGAGTTTGATGCTGGATCACCTGTGTTTGTGATTAAGGCTGCGTTCAGACTGCAGATCAAAGGGACCCAAATCTGATTCTGTGACTCGGATCTTTCTGACAGCGTGAACAGGCCGAGTCACATGGAACCGCTTCCATATGTGGTCCAAATCTGATCCAGATCGGATCTTTTTAAATGCGACCTCAGTCTGGACTCTCAGGTCGCATTTGATGCGACTTTGACGTCACTGTAGAGCAGCTGTTCTGCTGCAGACGGAAGCTCCACAAAACGCCATAATTAAAGATGTGGCTCTCTTCGCCCTCTACCTCGCCGTCATCTGCTCAGATTCCCTTTCTTACACCTGAAATCCAGCAGACCGGAGCTCTTCTCATAATTCGGGAGAAATGTGAGCCACAAGAGGACAATTAAAAAAAAAACGGGAGTATTCCGCGAGCTAACGGGAGTTTAACCTCTGTCGCTCCTTCTTTACTTCTGCAGCCTGCAACAGCTGCTGCTGCCGCGTGACGTCGTGTTCTTCTTTCAGGCTGCGCACAGTTCACGCTGGAGTCTGATATGGACCGCATTTAAACTATAATGTCAACTGTCAAACAAAAACAAACCGAGCATTAACGCCTGCGGTCTGAACGCAGCCTTAGTTTCAATAAACCGATCAAAGTAACGACATCATGATGCGATTTGTCAAAAACATGAAGTCATGCTCTGACGGGTCGGTCAACTTCTGAAACGCTCGTTTTCTGGATGGAGTTTGGATCCATCAGGGTCATGCTAACGACAACGATGGCTGGAATCAGGTAACAGACACATAACAGCAGGGACCGCTCTGCTCTGTGGCGAGCAGAAGCTCCGCCCCTCAGATCTTTCAGTTCAATATTTTGTGTTGCTTTGACTTTCTACGTCACCGCGGTGCACTTCTGTGTGAACGCATCTGTACGGTGCACGCCCACTGCATACATTTAGGAGGCGTCGCCAGGTATCCCAGCATGCCTTGTGCAGTAAGGTAGCCGCTTCCCATAGACTTTGAATAAATGGGATTCCGTAGTCAGTCAGCTGGAGGTCAGAGTTTGGCGTTTACCATGATCTGTCCGAAGGGTCCCATCTTCATGATGTTCTGGAACTGCTCGTACATGTCTCTGAGGGTGAACTGCCCTGGAGGTCAGAGGTCACAGGTCAGTGATCATACCCATAATGCAACGCGTGTTCTCCACTAGTTTTACTCTCCTCCACTTGAGTTAAATTTCAGCTCTGCTAACAATCCCACAATGCAACGTGTCACATCTCACCGTGTTTCAGTTTATCGATCAGCTCCTCGTTGTCGTCCAGTTTCAGCTCGTTCACTCTGTCAATCAAACCCTCGATGTCGCCCATCCCTGACAGGAAGAGGAGCGTTTCCATGGAAACAACATGTTATTTACTGCAGGTTGCACATATCTGAATAAGAGCAGAATTCATCCGGTGCTGCGTGACCACGGGAGTGTTTACCGAGCAGTTTGCTGATGAACGGCTGAGTCTTGAACGGCTCGAAGTCGTCGATGTGTTCTCCTGTTCCGATGAAGATGATCGGGCTCCTGGTGGCTGCCACGCTGACAGGAAACAGCAGAAGAAGAACGTCAACACAACGCCGACAGGAAGCAGCAGAAGAAGAGTCACTCTGACATCACACAGAGCTGTGACATCACGACGGGTCTTACGCGCTCAGAGCTCCTCCTCCTTTAGCGTGCCCGTCCAGTTTGGTGACGATCACGGACGCCACGTCCACCTTGTCTTTAAAGGCCTTGGCCTGAGACTCGCAGGCCTGACCGATCGACGCGTCCATCACGTACACGATGTTGTCCGGTTGCTATGGAAACACAGAAAGAGAGAAACATCTGGAGGTGAAGAAAAACACTGGACTGTCTCAGGTACTGGCGGTGCGTTCAGGTACTCACCACAGCGTTGGAGACCTGCAGCATCTCCTCGAACAGCGAGTCTTCCTGTTTGTGTCGTCCGCTTGTGTCGACGATGATGATCTCAAAGTTCTCGCCTTTGAACTTCTCGACACCCTCTGCGGCGATAACCACCGGGTCCATCTCTGTGTAACTGAACACAACACACAGTGTGACACACTCAGCAGACCGCAGAGGACGCCACCTGTGTGAGCGTCGAGGACCAACTCACCTGCCGTAGAACGGGATTCTGGCTTTAGTGGCGTTCTGTTTCAGCTGATCGAAGGCACCTGAGAGAAGAGAGGAGGATCATCGAGGATGAAAATCTGCTGCTGAGACATTTGAAATACCAAAGCTGAAGGTTCGCGAAGCGGCGTGTCGGGGCAGTGAAGGTGCGCGAAGCGGCGTGTCGGGGCAGTGAAGGTGCGCGAAGCGGCGTGTCGGGGCAGTGAAGGTGCGCGAAGCGGCGTGTCGGGGCAGTGAAGGTGCGCGAAGCGGCGTGTCGGGTGAAGCGGCGTGTCGGGTGAAGCGGCGTGTCGGGTGAAGCGGCGTGTCGGGTGAAGCGGCGTGTCGGGGCAGTGAAGGTGCGCGAAGCGGCGTGTCGGGGCAGTGAAGGTGCGCGAAGCGGCGTGTCGGGTGAAGCGGCGTGTCGGGTGAAGCGGCGTGTCGGGTGAAGCGGCGTGTCGGGTCACTGAAGGTGCGTGAAGCGGCGTGTCGGGTCACTGAAGGTGCGTGAAGCGGCGTGTCGGGTCAGTGAAGGTGCGTGAAGCGGCGTGTCGGGTGAAGCGGCGTGTCGGGTGAAGCGGCGTGTCGGGTGAAGCGGCGTGTCGGGTCAGTGAAGGTGCGTGAAGCGGCGTGTCGGGTGAAGCGGCGTGTCGGGTGAAGCGGCGTGTCGGGTGAAGCGGCGTGTCGGGTCACTGAAGGTGCGTGAAGCGGCGTGTCGGGTGAAGCGGCGTGTCGGGTCACTGAAGGTGCGTGAAGCGGCGTGTCGGGTGAAGCGGCGTGTCGGGTGAAGCGGCGTGTCGGGTGAAGCGGCGTGTCGGGGCAGTGAAGGTGCGTGAAGCGGCGTGTCGGGTCACTGAAGGTGCGTGAAGCGGCGTGTCGGGTGAAGCGGCGTGTCGGGTGAAGCGGCGTGTCGGGTGAAGCGGCGTGTGGGGTCACTGAAGGTGCGTGAAGCGGCGTGTCGGGTGAAGCGGCGTGTCGGGTCACTGAAGGTGCGTGAAGCGGCGTGTCGGGTGAAGCGGCGTGTCGGGTCACTGAAGGTGCGTGAAGCGGCGTGTCGGGTGAAGCGGCGTGTCGGGTCACTGAAGGTGCGTGAAGCGGCGTGTCGGGTGAAGCGGCGTGTCGGGTCACTGAAGGTGCGTGAAGCGGCGTGTCGGGTGAAGCGGCGTGTCGGGTCACTGAAGGTGCGTGAAGCGGCGTGTCGGGTGAAGCGGCGTGTGGGGTCACTGAAGGTGCGTGAAGCGGCGTGTCGGGTCACTGAAGGTGCGTGAAGCGGCGTGTCGGGTCACTGAAGGTGCGTGAAGCGGCGTGTGGGGTCACTGAAGGTGCGTGAAGCGGCGTGTCGGGTGAAGCGGCGTGTGGGGTCACTGAAGGTGCGTGAAGCGGCGTGTCGGGTGAAGCGGCGTGTGGGGTCACTGAAGGTGCGTGAAGCGGCGTGTGGGGTCACTGAAGGTGCGTGAAGCGGCGTGTCGGGTGAAGCGGCGTGTGGGGTCACTGAAGGTGCGTGAAGCGGCGTGTCGGGTGAAGCGGCGTGTGGGGTCACTGAAGGTGCGTGAAGCGGCGTGTCGGGTGAAGCGGCGTGTGGGGTCACTGAAGGTGCGTGAAGCGGCGTGTCGGGTCACTGAAGGTGCGTGAAGCGGCGTGTCGGGTGAAGCGGCGTGTGGGGTCACTGAAGGTGCGTGAAGCGGCGTGTCGGGTGAAGCGGCGTGTGGGGTCACTGAAGGTGCGTGAAGCGGCGTGTGGGGTCACTGAAGGTGCGTGAAGCGGCGTGTCGGGTCACTGAAGGTGCGTGAAGCGGCGTGTCGGGTGAAGCGGCGTGTGGGGTCACTGAAGGTGCGTGAAGCGGCGTGTCGGGTGAAGCGGCGTGTGGGGTCACTGAAGGTGCGTGAAGCGGCGTGTCGGGTGAAGCGGCGTGTGGGGTCACTGAAGGTGCGTGAAGCGGCGTGTCGGGTGAAGCGGCGTGTCGGGTCACTGAAGGTGCGTGAAGCGGCGTGTCGGGTCACTGAAGGTGCGTGAAGCGGCGTGTCGGGTGAAGCGGCGTGTCGGGTCACTGAAGGTGCGTGAAGCGGCGTGTCGGGTCACTGAAGGTGCGTGTCGGGTGAAGCGGCGTGTCGGGTGAAGCGGCGTGTCGGGTGAAGCGGCGTGTCGGGTGTTTACCGGCTCTGAAGGTGTCGGCACAGATCAGACACGTCTTCCAGCCCTTCCTCTGGTAATAATAGGCCAGCTGCATGAAACAAAGCAGTCAGTGTGACGACAGACAGACAGCAGGGGGCGCTCTGCATCAAACTACTGTTAGATCTGGATTCAGACAGGGGGCGGGGTTATGGCTCAGGTGTGTCGTTTCACCTTTGAGCAGGTTGTAGTTTTCCCGCTGCCCTGCAGACCAACAAACATGATGACGTTGTTCTTTCCTTTTGTGGGAGTCCAGGCCTTCACACCGGGGTCCACCAGCTGGAAATACACACAGTACACATAATATACACACAGTACACATAATATACACACAGTACACATAATATACACACAGTACACATAATATACACACAATATACACAGACCCTGTAGTTAATTCTCAGTTTACTTGATGACTCAGGTAAATTTTACTTTCAAGTTTAGAATCACATTTTTCTATCAGGTTTAAAAATAATTGTCTCCCAGACTCTTCCAGGACTTTTCCAGGCCTGATGACCGACCTTGACGAGCTCCTTGAAGACGGCGTGCTGGATCATCCTCCTCTTGTTCAGACCTGAAGCCATCTCCTCCAGATCTATGGCAGCCCTGCAGGGACAAAACCACAGTTCAGACACAGCTGCTGGACAGAACCGGACCAGGTTCAGATCCCGGATCAGGTGTTTTATACTCACTTGACGTTCTCTCTCAGCTGTTTGACCAGCTTGATGTTGACGTCGGCCTCCAGCAGAGCAGCACACACCTCCTTCAGCATGGCATTTAACACCTGCAACACAGACAGGTGACTGCAGTCGGCCCGGGACTCAGACCGACCGCGGTCGGACTAGAAAGGCGCTATACAAATACGGAGCATTAACATTTAACAAATGTTTTCACTCGCACGCTGTGGGAGCGCGGCAGCCCTCAGCGCTCGGCTCGCTTCCTGTCCTCTTCTGTGCAGAACACACGTGACAGATGATATAAGAGCAGCGTCGCTCTGAATCAGGAGCTGCGCAGCGAGCGTTTGATTGTCCGAGCGGCAGAAAGTGACGTGAACGCGAGTGGAGGAAAATATTCTGGCAGTAAATGTCCGGCGTCTGTTACAGAGCGTCGGCTTCTCAAGGCCAAGAAAAGTCTGTTGTTTCCCAGCTGCTGGGAAAGTGAAGCCTGTTAGCGCTGAGTTAGCGAACATCTCCCCTTCAGCCTGAGCAGCTTCTACAGCAGCTACAGAACATTAGCTCATTTATAGAAAGTAACTGGAAGCTGCATTTTATTACTGCCTACGTGTTCATGTTGAGAACATCAGGTCCAAACTGAGACTAAACTGGTGCAGCCTGCAGCTCCGTCCTGCACAGACTGGAGGAGCTGAGCTTAGTGAAGCTAATTACTGATGCAAACTCGTCCTGTTAAACTGATGAGGAGACGTTTCTTTCTGGATTTTAATGTGTAAATAAAATGCACCTCAGAAGGGAGGAGGTTTCTCACGCTGCCTGTTTTTTATATTAATGTCTACAGATAAATGTCACAGAAGGCAACATGAACAGTCGTGTCTATAATGATTCTGAGGTCACATTAACAGGGTTTTAGGGGCTGATGCCCAAAACATGCTGTGCCATCGCTGTAAAATCACTGTGGAGCATCAGAACCAACCAGATTACTTTCTCCAGATCTAAAGGTTGTCGTTCCTCCAGCAGACGGATCTTTGGCTGTTGGTTATTTATTATCTGCTTTAGCTTTTCCAACTATTTGTTCAGAGATATGGTGAAAATAACGGCCCAATGTGATGTGAAATTACATATTTTTCATTGGGAAGCACCCCCAAACCAACACCAAAACATTCATCTAAATCTCACATTGAACTGGGAAACACTGCAGTTTGAAGCTGTTCTAAGGTGCATCGCAAGCTCATGGACACAAGAGCAAAGATTTTGCTTCAGCTCCGCTGCTACAGCTCCATCTTAGGGGAAACACTGGCCTGGGCGATGAAGCGAGGTCGCCGGCTTATCCAGGTAACTTCAGGTGTAACTTCCTGATTAACTCGTACTACCAAAGGTGGATAGGAGTTACCCGAGGTCTGTTGCCATGGCAATTTACGCCGCATCTTCAAACTGCTCCGAGCAGGTTTTGTTTGTGGTTAACTCGAATTAATTAACTTGAATTGTTTTCACATATTTAGATACTTTTTGGACTATTTCACGTGTGAAAAAAATAGGGAGCCAGTGTGTGTGTGGGGGGGGTTAATAAACCAGATGAAAGTGTGAAATTTACAGGAACAAAAATCTGAAAACAGCCCAATCCAAGGCAAAGTCTGAGGTGCAGGACGGTGACTGAGGGCCAAACTCACAAGTATGTTTTACATCACATTTAGCTGACTTACAGCTGCTGTACATGTCAGAGGTCAGAGGTCGCACGCCTCTGGAGCAACGAGGGGTTAAGTGTCTCGCTCAGGGACACAATGGTGGATTGAACCCGGGTCTCTCCCACCAGAGGCAGGTGTCTTATCCACTGTTCCATCACTACCAAGTTTCCTCACTGCTGAATCCGATAGTGAAGTCTAATGTAACTTTTCACTGCACATAATACTCGGCAGACGTGTGTGTGAGATGTTTCAGACGCCAACGAGCCTCCCCGGCTCGGTCGGCCGCCACGATATCAGATTTAGCCGTTAACTTCTCTTTACATTCATAATTTCCTGACACTACCAACGTGCGGAACGCACGAGAAATACGGAGCATGCGCCGTTGTGAAATATTTTATGCAAACACGCCTCCAATTAGGTTAGTCGGAACAGCACTGCGGACACCGAGAGTCGTGAGTCTGCACGAGCCTGAAGAGATTAAATGTGCTCACAGTCATTCACTCAGTGACTTTCATCTGTTCTGATCCCCGTGGACTCATTAAACATATAATTCAGAGTTAAATAAACCTGGCGGCCGTTTGGTCACATGACCTCAGTGCGTCCCGGCTCTGACTTACCTCTTCGTTGATGATGGTGGCGTTGCTGAGTGACCTCAGCGCCGAGGTGATCTTCCTCCCCAGGTCGGCTAACACCATGATGGCGGTCTGACGTAATCCTGAAAGAAACGTCTGGACTATTACATCATGTTCACGTGTCAAGTTACATCAGCCGTAACCCCGGGCGACAGATTAATGTGGTACAGTTAGCTATGAGTCACGTCCCGCCCCCAAACTGCAGGATGATCAATAACAGGTCGGTGTGTGACACTGAGGAGGAGGAGGAAGTTACCGCGTGTTGGAACAGAAACCTGGCTGTGTGGAGGGGAACCCCCCTACTGAGCGCGCTCAGGGAGTCAGCAGGTCAGCTCACAGGTGAAGGTTGCAGCACACACACTTCCTGTACAGAGGAGAGAAAGTTCTGGAGTCACAGAGGTCTTTAAACACAACGTGAAGAAGTATCTCACGTTGTCATGACAACTTTATTTGTAACGCCCGTTAATAGTTTTCAGGTTGACTGTGTGACGCCGGTCCAGGGACTCAGACACTTTCTTCACGTGTCATTCTAAATTAAACTGAGTGAATTTAAATAAAAAGGCCGCCGGTCGGACCGCCGGTTCTGATCTCAGTGTATGAAGCTTGGTTTGGAAACAACAGTTAACGTCGACGCAGCAGAGAGCGAGCGTTCCTCCGTCCTTCTCCTTGGGAAGACTTACTGCCGACCCTCCCGCCTCCTGTTCGATATGATGATACGCATGGGGCGGCTGTGGCTCAGGAGGTAGAGCGGGTTGGCCGTTAATCGGAAGGTCGGCGGTTCAATCCCTCCCCCTGGTTGCATGTCGAAGTGTCCTTGGGCAAGATACTGAACCCCGAATTGCCCCTGGCGGCTGTTCCGCCAGTGAATGAGTGAGTGTGAATGTTAGTTTCTGTTTGAGCACTTAGGCTCAGTGTATGAATGTGTGTGACTGGTGAATGCAGATGTAGTGTAAAAGCGCTATACAAGTACGGAGCATTTACATTTACATCATTCCTTGCTAGGAAGGCGTCTGAGCTTTGGACCAATAAACAGCTGCAGTCAGATTCTGCTCTGATAACTGTTCACTGACAGGAGGAACTCACAGCGAGCCGCCGTGTTTCTGTTGTTCCTGTAGCTGCAGAGCTTCATGTTTATACGGAGCGACACACCAGGAGGCTGCTGGGAGAAAAGAGAGGAAGCTGAACGACCCGGAAGCTCAGAAAACACGAGTCCGTTACTTGATTCCGGCTGTCGATGTGTTTTACTGTGAAACACGTTAGCGCAGCTCTGATCAAACCAAACTCCATTCAGAAAACAAGCGTTTTAAAAGCTGTGTGCTTGTCATCTGGCAGAGCAGGAAGTCACGTTTATCAGGTCAGAAGCTGAAATGTTTTTATGTCAGAGCTGATGAAAAACAGGCAGAACCTCTTTATTAAACTGTCGTGCAGATTTTCCTCCTTTCCTGCAGCCTTCTGTTATTTTTAAAGTCTGCTGGAGCTGCAGCACTAAACTAATCCGTCACTCATCAATGGATTCAGTCAGTTTTCACACTTTTAGTGAACTTGTGCTGATAAACCACGTGTCCGGTTCATCTTCGGCTCCGACAGCTTACAGACTGAAACTCATGGACTATACTGCAGTACTGGTTAGAAATACTGCAGTCACTGGACTCGTTGGCAGCAGCAGAATCTTGTCTGCGCGTGCAGGTCCCCGAGGCTCAGATGGCTTCAACTTTATCTGCGTGTTTTAATACACATTTAAGTATCCGTGTAGTTTGAAGGAACTCCTGAGGATAAATAAACCACATGTAACTGTGTGTACTTCAATCGGTTCTGCAGTGAAACGCTCCCCGGTCCCAGTTCTGGTCCCAGTTCTGGTCCCTGTTGGACATTTTAAAGACTGATGATGATGCAATCTGAACCAGCTGAAAAAAACAACAACAACAACAACAATCAAACTTTGTCGCCATTTTGTCTGGTTTAGAGCTGCCAGTCACCGTGTCGATCATCAGCTGCTCGCGAAGCTGCTTTTACTTTGAGGTCAGTACCGACCAGGACCAGTTTACGGTTCCGACGTGTTTACAGCGTCTGCTGCTAACGTTAGCTTAGCATTTAGCCTCACCGTCCGCAGAGAACGGAGGTTAGCTTCGTTAGCCGTGTTAGCTTCGTTAGCTTCGTTAGCCAGAGACCGACGGCGGGAACTGAGGAACATAAACGGGTCCAGTTAAACCGAATTAAAGATTCTTTCTTACCGACAGTCGACGTGAGAAGAAGTCCTCCGGAGAGTCCTGATCCACCAGCAGCTGGAAACAAACGTCATCCAATCCGGACCGACCCGGAAACTGTCCCGCGCTTCTTCTTCTGCGCTTCGAACCATTTACGTTGACACACAGCAGCGCCTCCCGCTGGAGGACTCAACCAACCCAGACACGTGATCTGCCTCGAGTCTTTGGTGCAGTACTGCACTTTAGTACAAGTTAGAGGTACTTAGATATTTTTACTTCACCGTATTTCTCTGACGGCTTCAGTTACACAAACACAGAGAGTTTATAAAAGATGAAGTTTGCAGCTGGTACTTCATTTTTCACGTAAAAACATTTGATGTGAAGATTTGCTGCTTTCTGATTATTTTAATGTGTTTTTAATCTTTTTGAGTTTTTCTTACGACTTTTAATGGAGAAAATAATCAGCAGATTAATCTATGATGAAAGTGATCACTGGTTTCAGTCCGATACAGAAGAGTTCTACGTGAGATCCACCTCAACAGTAAAATCCTTTTTACATGAGGAGTAATAATCTAAATATGATCTATAATATACAACAGGCAGGTGGGACGTTTTTCCGATTATACTCATACTTTTACCTAAGTAACATTTTCAAAGCAGGACTTTTACTTGTAACAGAGTATTTTTACAGTGAGGTATTAGTACTTTTACTGCAGTAATACTTCGTCCACCACGTTTTTTTAGAGCAGTTAGTGGGTCGATTGTTCGACAGAAGTAACAATAATCAGTAACTGATCAGGAAAAATCAAACCTCCTCCAGTTTCTCTGGTTTCTGGATTCAGGTTTCTGTTGAATTAAACAGAATGTCTGTATTATTATGCTGATGTTACGGACTGATTGGTTAATCAATCATTAATAATCAATCATTAATAATCACCTGCAGCCCTGTTATTCTTTATACTGTTCTTGTATTTCGGTCTGATATTTTTCTTTAATTTCACATTATTTGCACATTTCTGTGAACACGCGCTCATTGAAAATACAAGTAAACAAAACTGTAAACTGTAAATAAGATTTTTTAAATAAAATATTTAGTAGTTCTGCTGTTTGAATTCCTTGAAGGAAACAGAAAAGGTTTGGATGTTATTCTCTTTAAACTCATCAGGGAGGCAAGAGGAAGTAAAGGAACTAAACGGGCTGTGATGATTTCAACAAGTCCTCCAACCTTAACGATAAGATCAGGTGGTATTAACAGACCTCCACAGGTCGCCGCCACAAGAAGCGTAAACACAGGTCGTAATTTCCTCCTGCATGAACGAGCTGTAAGTCAGAATCAGCTTTATTGCCAGGTATGTGTGCACATACGAGGAATTTGACTCACGATGTGTTTACTCATACAAAAATACAAAATCACAATAATAAAAATAAGATCAGACACAGACTTCAGTGTTGACAACACAAATATACACGCTATGAACAAAAACAATATAGACATATTGAGAAATGGTGCAGAGTGCAAAGGATGCAGGAGTCTGTACATGTCGGAGTTGGATGTGATATACAGATACATATACATGCATACATGTACACAGTGCGATGGATGCTGGAATAAATAAGTATAAGTATTTTGTGAATGAGTTATGACTTGAGGTAGGTGGATTGGTATACAGTATCTACAATAAGACAATATAACAGTATGAACAGCTCTGAAACAGAATGTCGTATTTCTGCTGAGGACGTCCTGCAGTCACTGATACAAGTTAGCCCGAAGAGTTCCAGTAAACAGTGTAGTGGACCAATATGTGGTCAGGAGACCAGGACACATTCAGGAGTGAGACCTCCTGAATGTGTCCTGGTCTCCTGGATGCAGCTCGGAGTGAGACCTCCTGAATGTGTCCTGGTCTCCTGGATGCAGCTCGGAGTGAGACCTCCTGAATGTGTCCTGGTCTCCTGGATGCAGCTCGGAGTGAGACCTCCTGAATGTGTCCTGGTCTCCTGGCTGCAGCTCGGAGTGAGACCTCCTGAATGTGTCCTGGTCTCCTGGATGCAGCTCGGAGTGAGACCTCCTGAATGTGTCCTGGTCTCCTGGATGCAGCTCGGAGTGAGACCTCCTCCCGTCTCTCCCCTCTGCGTCTTGACGTGGCGCCGGGCGCCGCCATGTTGTTTTGCTTCGTTGTCAGTAGAGAGGAGCGGCAGCAGCAGAGCGGAGGTGAGTGAGTGACTTGTTTACCTTCACACAGAGACTCACCTGGACCTGACAGACCTCCAGACTTCACCTGGACTCAGCCAGCTCACCTGCGTGTCCGTCCTGTACCTGTCAGCTGGTGACGTTGATGACGCCGCTGTTTACCTGCTTATTAGCTGTTAGCTGTTAGCTGTGAGGGTAACTGAGCTGAACTGTGCAGATAAAACCAGTTAATTAGTTATTTTCTGTAAACCGTCCAGGTGACACTGACACACTTTCTCTACCTGCGCGTGTCAGAAAGCTACCTGCTGACGTCAGCCTGTTCACTGGCGCAGCAGCTGATCAGACTGGACTTTAAATATCAAAGTTAAATATTAACTCTGTCATTGATTATCAGCTCTGATTGATCACTAACAGCTTCAGTCTGAAGGCTTCTGAGATAAACTAATTTATAAGTAGTACAGATAACTTACTGCAGTACTGCATGCAAGTACACCTTTGAGGTATTTAAGTGTTTCCATGTTTCGCTACTTTATGCTTATACTTCTCTAGCGTACATTTAACAGTTTTACTGCAGTTCTGTGAAATCTGGATAAAACTGGTAATTATTTTCCTTAAATTGTTAGAAAATTGTACAGAGTTTGGTTTGTGGCTTCTCAGGTGGGAGGGGTCGTTGTGAAGGAATGTGCACGTTTTCTGAGAGGAAGCCACCAACCAAACTCTGTACAAGTATTTCAGTATTCAGAATAAGTCAGCTACTGTAAATAACAACAAAAACATTCAGACAACAAATTAACAAACCCAAAGATTCACAAAAAAACTATCTGAGTGCCTGAGAAGATCTGAAGGGGGCGCCAGAGGGTTACAACTGTACTGAGCAGTACTGAGCAGTACTGCAGTATAGAGAGTACAGGGAGCAGTACTGCAGTACAGGGAGCAGTACTGCAGTTTGGTTAGAAATACTGCAGTGTAGTTAGAGGTACTGCATTATAGTGAGCAGTACTGCAGTATAGTTAGAGGTACTGCATTATAGTGAGCAGTACTGCAGTATAGTTAGAGGTACTGCAGTTTGGTTAGAAATACTGCAGTATAGTTAGAGATACTGCAGTATAGTTAGAGGTACTGCATTATAGTGAGCAGTACTGCAGTATAGTTAGAGGTACTGCAGTTTGGTTAGAAATACTGCAGTATAGTTAGAGGTACTGCATTATAGTGAGCAGTACTGCAGTATAGTTAGAGGTACTGCAGTATAGTTAGAGGTACTACCATTAACTGACCTTGTCCCCCCCCCCCCACCCCCAGCTTCTACCTGACAGTGTGTCCGACCCCCTCCCCGTTGCCATGGCGACCTTCCCAGAGTACATTGCGGCGAACGAGGAGCGAGACGGCGTGCGCTTCAGCTGGAACGTCTGGCCGTCCAGCGGCTGGAGGCGACCCGGATGGTGGTTCAGGTGGCGTCTCTGTTCACCCCGCTGAGGGAACGACCCGACCTGCCGCCGATCCAGTACGAACCGGTTCTGTGCAGCCGGGCCACCTGCCGCGCCGTGCTCAACCCGCTGTGGTACGCATCACTGCTGCGCACCTGTGTGATGTCGCAGCCCTCTAACACCTGTCTGACATCACCTGTCTGTGTTTCAGCCAGGTGGACTACAGAGCCAAGCTGTGGGCCTGCAACTTCTGCTACCAGCGGAACCAGGTCCAGTAGAACACACCTGGACCTCTGACAGAGCTGTGTCTCCTTACCTGGCTTGTTTTTAATAATAATATATTTATATTTTTCACAATATTTACCTCCTACTTTCCTCTAACTTTATTTTTATAATATTATAAAGTACTACTTTATAATATAGTAATACTTTACTACTTAATAATATAAAGTACTTTATAATGTACAGTAATACTGTATAATATAAAGTACTGTGTAACGTACAGTAATACTGTATAATATAAAGTACTTTATAATATATAGTAACACTTTACTACTTAATAATATAAAGTACTTTATAATGTACAGTAATACTGTATAATAAAAGTACTTTATAATATATAGTAACACTTTACTACTTAATAATATAAAGTACTTTATAATGTACAGTAATACTGTATAATATAAAGTAATACTGTATAATATAAAGTAATACTGTATAATATAAAGTACTGTGTAACGTACAGTAATACTGTATAATATAAAGTACTGTGTAACGTACAGTAATACTGTATAATAAAAAGTACTTTATAATGTACAGTAATACTGTATAATATAAAGTAATACTGTATAATATAAAGTAATACTGTATAATATAAGTACTGTGTAACGTACAGTAATACTGTATAATATAAAGTACTTTATAATATATAGTAATACTTTACTACTTAATAATATAAAGTACTTTATAATGTACAGTAATACTGTATAATATAAAGTAATACTGTATAATATAAAGTACTTTATATATAAAGTAATACTGTATAATATAAAGTACTGCGTACAGTAATATTTATCCCCGGTATGTTGTGAGGTTCTAACACCGACCCGGTCTGGTTCTCTTTCAGTTTCCTCCGTCTTATGCTGGGATCTCTGAGGTCACCCAACCTGCAGAGCTGCTGCCTCAGTTCTCCACCATCGAGTACGTGGTCCAGGTGAGACAGGCGGAGACAGGTACAGACTGACAGGCAGACCGTACCTTCAGGTGTATGACCCGATGTGGTCTCTGTCCTCAGCGGGGTCCTCAGATGCCGCTGGTCTTCCTGTACGTGGTGGACACCTGTATGGAGGACGAGGACCTGCAGGCTCTGAAGGAGTCCCTGCAGATGTCCCTGTCCCTGCTGCCTCCCACCGCGCTGGTCGGACTCATCACCTTCGGCCGGATGGTTCAGGTTCATGAGCTGGGCTGCGAGGGGATCTCCAAGAGCTACGTCTTCAGGGGGACCAAGGACCTGAATGCCAAGCAGCTGCAGGTATCTGACCTCTCTCCTCGTGCTCACTAACACTAGTCCATCATCCAGACCCTCTGGTTCTGACACCTCTGGGTCTGGGTTGCGGTGGCAGCAGGCTAAGCTAAGTACCTTACATGTGCTGGGTCCTACAGGTCCCCCTGGTGGTCTGCTGACTCTGCAGCGACCCACCTGCTGGTCTCACGTCCTTCTGACCCTCACCCTCAGATACTCCCTACTGTACCTGCCACGTTTATGTCCAGGCTTACAGGTGGTCTGGCCCCGAGGCCCCCTTGTCATTCCTTTAGACCTGAGCCCGCCTGGGCCCAGTGGGTGAAGCTGGGCCGCCTCCCGGGCCTGGTTCCAGGAGGGTGTTGTAGTGTTGCAGGTAGCTGCCGGCACTAACGGGCTGAATCTGGTGCTGAACTGATTGTCTGGGTCTTTGCAGGAGATGCTCGGTCTGACCAAACCCTCAGCCGCTCAGGGACGAGGTCCTCAAACGGCCCCGCAGCCTCTGTCCAACAGGTAAACACACATGTCAGCAGCAGGATCTGGATCCCAGGGTCAGCAACATGTTTCAGCCCTCAGAGTATCACGTGTGTTCTCACCTCAGGTTCCTGCAGCCGGTGCAGAAGATTGACATGAACCTGACCGACCTGTTGGGGGAGCTGCAGCGAGACCCCTGGCCCGTCACTCAGGGAAAGAGGCCTCTTCGCTCGCTGGGCGTCGCCATGTCCATCGCTGTGGGCCTGCTGGAGGTGAGAGGGGTCCAGGTTTCAGGTTTCAGTCTTCAGCTTTCAGAAAATTCAGAAATTCCCACCCCTAAAGGTGACGCATTGTGATGCCTGGAGATACCGAATCAAATCGTGAGACCAGTAAAGATGCACACCCCAATTCTGTATATCCGCAGGTTTCAGCACCACGACTAACAGAGTCTGCGTTTCTACCCACAGTGCACCTTCCCCAACACGGGCGCTCGCATCATGACGTTCGTTGGCGGTCCGGCGACGCAGGGCCCCGGCATGGTGGTGGGAGACGAACTGAAGACCCCCATCAGGTCCTGGCACGACCTGGAGAAGGACAACGCCAAGTTCATGAAGAAAGCTACCAAGGTGAGAGAGAAGGGCGTTGAATGATGAGGTTCTTTACTTCTCCAGCTGGCGGTGAGCCGGCAGAGGGTGGGGCCACATACTGACCTCATCACTGCGTGTCTGTGTGTTGTAGCACTACGAGTCTTTAGCTAACCGAGCGTCCACTAACGGTCACATCATCGACATCTACGCCTGCGCTCTCGATCAGACCGGCCTGCTGGAGATGAAGTGCTGCGCCAACTACACCGGGTATACACACACACGCTCACGCACACACACACACAGATGGTTTCCTGCTCATCGTCCTCCAGTCAGCTGTTTCATCATGTAAAGGCTGGTTTGTGGACGATCAGAGAAACACCTTTCTTCATGTAACGTCGCTGTGACAGGAGGGAGGAAATTTACCTTTTATGTTTACCTTTTTACTTTTACATTTATTTTTTACTTTTTAGTTTTTACTTTTACATTTATTTTTTACATTTACATTTTTTTATTTACATTTTATATTTACATTTAACTTTTTATTTTTCATATTTACTTTTACATTTGTTTACATTTACTTTTTATATTTACATTTACTTTTTACATTTATTTTTACATTTACATTTTTTTATTTACATTTTATATTTACATTTAACTTTTTACTTTTCATATTTACTTTTACATTTAGTTTACATTTACTTTTGACTTTTTATATTTACATTTAACTTTTGACTTTTTATATTTATATTTACATTTACACATTTACTTTTTACATTTAGCAGACACTTTAGTCCAAAGGGACTAAAGAAGAAAGTGAAACAAGTTTCTTACAATTAACTGCGAGGTTAGCTCGTAGACAGCTAAGAGGCTACACAGTGCTATGGGTGCACTTTAGGAAAGTGGGGGGGTCTTGAATCTCACATGTAGAGACGTACGACTGAGACAACATCACAGGTGTGTAAAGGCAGGAAGCAGTATCTTTAAGTAAGCAGTCTTCCACAGTCGGGGAGTAATCTGATTACTGAACGGCTGTGTGGAAACAGGTTTACAACCACCAGGTTACCTCACGGAAACACAAAGATAAAGAAGTTTCACCTCCGCTGACAGAATCCACCTTTAATGATCTGAGAAGGTTCAAAGCACAAAAGGAAATTCACCTGTAGAATATTTAGTGTAGGAGGCAGCTCAGAGATCCAGGTGTCCCTCAACCCACCAGAACCCATGACAGAGCATCACATACCTGTGATGGACCCACAGGCTCCTGATGTTTCACAAACGTCCTGCAGGTGAACGGAGGGATTTAGTCCTCTGAGCTGCTGCAGGAAGTGCTGAATGTGTGTTTGTACTTCCTGGTCTCTGCAGAGGCTACATGGTGATGGCGGACTCCTTCAACACGTCTCTGTTTAAACAAACCTTCCAGAGAGTCTTCACCAAAGATGTCCAGGGATCCTTCAAGATGGCGTTCGCCGCCACGCTGGAAGTCAAGGTACGAACTGCAGCTGACCAACGCCAGGTCACCTGACCAGAGTCGTGTGCAGAGAAATGTCAGTGATTATCAGGCTGAGGCTCTAATCAGAGAGAATCACCTGACAGGTGGCGGCAGCTCAGAACAGAAACACATATGAAAAGTTAGTCTGCAGAAAAACATCTCTGAACAAACTCCAGGACCCTAAAGCTCATGAGACGGGACTATACAGACGGATGGGCACCAGAACCCTGGGTCACCTGCAGGCAGAGGCCCCGCCCCAGGTCACCTGTCTCACAAGTGAATAAAGTGTTGTGTTTTGTTTCAGACCTCCAGAGAGATCAAAGTATCGGGAGCGATCGGCCCCTGCGTGTCTTGCACGCTAAAGGACCCTGTGTCTCTGAGAACGTATGTAGCACGCAGCTGACCTTTGACCTTTAACTGATAACTGTGAAAGTCCTCCTGTCCTCTGCTCTCACCTTAGCTTAAAAACTGTTAGCCTAGCTTAGCACAATGCCTGGAAGCAGGGGGAAAGTGTTAGCCTAGCTTAGCACAAGGCCTGAAAACAGGGGAAGCTATTAGCCTAGCTTAGCACAAAAAGTGGAAGCAGGGGGAAACTGTTAGCCTAGCTTAGCACAAAGACTGGAAGCAGAGGGAAACTGTTAGCCTAGCTTAGCACAAGGCCTGAAAACAGGGGGAAGCTATTAGCCTAGCTTAGCACAAAAAGTGGAAGCAGGGGGAAACTGTTAGCCTAACTTGGCACAAAGACTGGAAGCAGAGGGAAACTGTTAGCCTAGCTTAGCACAAAAAGTGGAAGCAGGGGGAATCTGCTAGCTTTGCACAAAAAGTGGAAGCAGGGGGAAACTGATAGCCTAGCTTAGCACAAAACTTGGAAGCACGGGGAAACTGATAGCCTAGCTTAGTACAAAAAGTGGAAGTTGGGGGAAACTGTTAGCCTAGCTTAGCACAGAACGTGGAAGCAGGGAGAAACTGAAAGCCTAGCTTAGGCAAAAAGACTGGAAGCAGGGGGAATCTGTTAGCCTAGCTTAGCACAAAATGTGGAAGCAGGGTGAAACTGATAGCGTAGTTCAGCACTAAAAGTGGAAGCAGGGGGAAACTGATAGTCTAGCTTTGCACAAAAAGGGGAAGCAGGGGGAAACTGTTAGCCTAGCTTAGCACAGAATGTGGAAGCAGGGGGAAACTGAAAGCCTAGCTTATCAAAAAGACTGGAAGCAGGGGGAATCTGCTAGCTTTGCACAAAACTTGGAAGCAGGGGGAATCTGTTAGCCTAGCTTAGCATGAGGCCTGAAAGCAGGGGGAAGCTGTAAGCCTAGCTTAGCACAAAAAGTGGAAGCAGGGGGGAATCTGTTAGCCTAGCTTAGCACAAAACATGGAAGCAGGGGGAAACTGTTAGCCTAACAGTAGTTAAATCCTCTGTTTCATTACCAAAATTACTGTTGTACGTGTACTGTGTTATACTTAGTACACACTGTAGTAGACTGTATTATACTACACTGTAGTTCTTCGTACTGTACAGTAACACGTTCTGTGTGTACTACAGGAGATCGGGACGGGAGGAACGTGTCAGTGGAAGATCTGCGGTTTGGATCCGACCACTACTCTGGCTCTTTACTTCGAGGTGGTCAACCAGGTACAAACACGTGACCTCTGACCTCTAGCTGGTCTGAGATCAGTCTGAAACTGCTGATTGACTGATTTTGCCAAAATAACAAAATAACAGCACCAGCTCTGGTCACACTCATTGTGAGGGCTGCAGGCACACAAGAAAAGAAACACACAAAAGGCCATATCCATTAATAGTGTTTATTATTATTATTATATAACCAGATGTCTGGCTCCTTGGATATGATGAAGTCAGAGACGCTCTTCTTCTTACATATTAAATCAGCTCAACTCAGCTAGAACCAGAACCGGTTTATGAATAGAAACACATTTCAGAGTGGTTTCCTGTGATAGATTCAGCTGGGTTGAGTTCCGTCCTCAGCAGCGCCGGATCAACACGTTATATTTCAGTGAGTCAGCGTCTGCAGCATCAGGCTGGCTTCTCAACACCACATATCCGGGTCTGGATCCTGATGGATATATAATCCCTCCAGTGTCTTCTGGGTCGTCCTGGACTCCCCTCACAGTCATGGAGGCGTCCAGGAGGATCCTCATCAGATGCTGAATCACCTCAACTTAAACTCCGTTCCGCCGAGGCTGGTAGGATTTTGTGGCGAGAGAAGACTTTGACCTGATGATGACTGACATTCTCCTTCAAACAAAGCATTTGGTCGTCTTTCTGAAGTAGAAATGTAGAGATGGGGCTACGTCTTAAAAAAAGTTGCGACAAAACCATTGTCTGAAACCGACGGTCCAACAGTCACACCTGCTTTACGTAAAGACTGGCCAGGTGTGTGGAGGTGTGAGCAAAACCTGAAAGATGGAGGTAAACATCTCTGTCAGCTGGATTTAAAGCTCTGAATGTGATGGAGGAGGAATGTCTTCAACATATGAACTGAAATGGAAGGCTGAACTACATTTCCCACAGTGCAGTGTGGCTGTCACTGGTCAGGTGTTTCTGTGTTTGGACCTGATGATGATGTCGAGGGCGTATCTGCTGTTGTTGCGTTGATCAGGGTGGTGTTGGTCTTTCTGGTGATGACGACAGGCGTGTTGCCGCCGTAGTTGTCATGCTGATGTGATTGGGTGTGTCCAGTTGGAGGGCGGAGCTCTGTGGGCGGGGCTCCAGAGGCGTAACAGAACACATCCGAATAAACCTGCAGACGCTGCGACGCACCGCCACCCTGTACCTCCTGGAGACACACGAACAGACAGAAGTTATTTTTCCATCCAGAGGGACGTCATTGTGTTTTATTGCTTCATTACTAATCTAATTTATGAAAACGGTAATATCCTACAATTAAATTAAATTTATATAGCACCAAATCACAACAACAGCTATCTCATTGCACTTTCATATAGAGAAGGTCCTTTCTGTGATAATACAGTATGCACCGGCGATACTGACCGTTGGGTATTTCACTGCAGTTTATCTTTATGACCACATCACAACCAACCAAAAACTAGCTAGTCCTATACTGTAGCTATCTGCAGAGGTCTGGGGACCAGCCGTAGAGGTGATACTGACTGTTGGGTATTTCACTGCGGTTTATCTTTAAACTTTTAACTGCTTCATCCTTACTCACGACTGCCTTTACGAAATCTTACTTACGTCTGCGTCATACAGGTGATCCAGGGGTTGAGGGCAGCGCTGGTCAGGACCAGCCAGGCGGAGAGGGCAGAGGTCACAGCAGGACTCTGTTGACCGCTAAGTGTCTCGTACAGACACACTGAGATGTAGGGCAGCCAGCACACCAGCAAACACACTGAGAAACACACAGGAAACTGTCAGCACATAACCAGGAACACATGACCACATCAGAACCAACCAAAACTAGCTAGTCCCATACTGTAGCTAGCTGCAGAGGTTTGAGGACTAGTTGTAGAGGTCTGGGGACTAGTTGTTGTTGAAGTCTGGGTACCAGCTGTAGCGGTCTGGGGACTAGTTGTTGTAGAGGTCTGGGGACTAGTTGTTGTTGAAGTCTGGGTACCAGCTGTAGCGGTCTGGGGACTAGCTGTTGTAGAGGTCTGGGGACTAGTTGTTGTTGAAGTCTGGGTACCAGCTGTAGCGGTCTGGGGACTAGTTGTTGTAGAGGTCTGGGGGACTAGCTGTTGTAGAGGTCTGGGGGACTAGTTGTTGTAGAGGTCTGGGGGACTAGCTGTTGTAGAGGTCTGGGGACTAGCTGTTGTAGAGGTCTGGGGACTAGTTGTTGTAGAGGTCTGGGGACTAGTTGTTGTTGAAGTCTGGGTACCAGCTGTAGCGGTCTGGGGACTAGTTGTTGTAGAGGTCTGGGGGACTAGCTGTTGTAGAGGTCTGGGGGACTAGCTGTTGTAGAGGTCTGGGGGACTAGTTGTTGTAGAGGTCTGGGGGACTAGCTGTTGTAGAGGTCTGGGGACTAGTTGTTGTAGAGGTCTGGGGGACTAGCTGTTGTAGAGGTCTGGGGACTAGTTGTTGTAGAGGTCTGGGGGACTAGCTGTTGTAGAGGTCTGGGGACTAGCTGTTGTAGAGGTCTGGGGACTAGTTGTTGTAGAGGTCTGGGGACTAGTTGTTGTTGAAGTCTGGGGGACTAGCTGTTGTAGAGGTCTGGGGGACTAGTTGTTGTAGAGGTCTGGGGGACTAGCTGTTGTAGAGGTCTGGGGGACTAGTTGTTGTAGAGGTCTGGGGGACTAGTTGTTGTAGAGGTCTGGGGACTAGTTGTTGTAGAGGTCTGGGGGACTAGCTGTTGTAGAGGTCTGGGGACTAGCTGTTGTAGAGGTCTGGGGACTAGTTGTTGTAGAGGTCTGGGGACTAGTTGTTGTTGAAGTCTGGGTACCAGCTGTAGCGGTCTGGGGACTAGTTGTTGTAGAGGTCTGGGGGACTAGCTGTTGTAGAGGTCTGGGGACTAGCTGTTGTAGAGGTCTGGGGGACTAGCTGTTGTAGAGGTCTGGGGGACTAGTTGTTGTAGAGGTCTGGGGGACTAGCTGTTGTAGAGGTCTGGGGGACTAGTTGTTGTAGAGGTCTGGGGGACTAGCTGTTGTAGAGGTCTGGGGACTAGCTGTTGTAGAGGTCTGGGGACTAGCTGTTGTAGAGGTCTGGGGACTAGCTGTTGTAGAGGTCTGGGGGACTAGCTGTTGTAGAGGTCTGGGGGACTAGTTGTTGTAGAGGTCTGGGGGACTAGCTGTTGTAGAGGTCTGGGGGACTAGTTGTTGTAGAGGTCTGGGGGACTAGCTGTTGTAGAGGTCTGGGGGACTAGCTGTTGTAGAGGTCTGGGGACTAGTTGTTGTAGAGGTCTGGGGGACTAGCTGTTGTAGAGGTCTGGGGGACTAGCTGTTGTAGAGGTTTGGGGACTAGCTGTTGTAGAGGTCTGGGGACTAGCTGTTGTAGAGGTTGGGGGACTAGCTGTTGTAGAGGTCTGGGGGACTAGCTGTTGTAGAGGTCTGGGGACTAGTTGTTGTAGAGGTCTGGGGGACTAGCTGTTGTAGAGGTCTGGGGACTAGCTGTTGTAGCGGTCTGGGGACTAGTTGTTGTAGAGGTCTGGGGGACTAGCTGTTGTAGAGGTCTGGGGACTAGCTGTTGTAGCGGTCTGGGGACTAGCTGTTGTAGAGGTCTGGGGACTAGTTGTTGTAGAGGTCTGGGGGACTAGCTGTTGTAGAGGTCTGGGGACTAGTTGTTGTAGAGGTCTGGGGGACTAGCTGTTGTAGAGGTCTGGGGACTAGCTGTTGTAGCGGTCTGGGGACTAGCTGTTGTAGAGGTCTGGGGGACTAGCTGTTGTAGAGGTCTGGGGACTAGTTGTTGTAGAGGTCTGGGGACTAGTTGTTGTAGAGGTCTGGGGGACTAGCTGTTGTAGCGGTCTGGGGGACTAGCTGTTGTAGAGGTCTGGGGACTAGTTGTTGTAGAGGTCTGGGGACTAGCTGTTGTAGAGGTCTGGGGGACTAGCTGTTGTAGAGGTCTGGGGACTAGTTGTTGTAGAGGTCTGGGGGACTAGCTGTAGTCTGGTTAATGTGGTTTATGTGTTGTCCACTCTGTCTGCAGGCTGCTGCGGTGACCTTTGACCCTCCTGTTTTTATGACTGTGTGTCATTATAATGAGAGTAATGACAGTAAGTCATAAACAGAAGCTGAGTCTTCAACCTCTCTGCTCCTGCTGTCATGGCAGCATGTTCCTATGATTCTACTCTGTGTTGAGTTTTATTAGCAGGACAGCACAGAGTGTTGACGGATCATATTTAAGTATAAACTGCTGTCCTCTGCAGTTACAGAGCTGTTTCTGTGAATGCTTAAATAATGGCTAGTGTTTATAAAAGGCCCAAATAATAGCTTCAGCAAATAACATCCTTCTTTTAATAAAACGTTGTGGTGTAGGTGGGGGTGGCCTGGTTGGAGGTGGAGCATTAATGCATGTAATGTCTCATTATAAGTTTAGGAGAATGTACGTTTTTCCTTTACAACCAAGGCCGTAACCAGGGTTTTAGGGTCAGTCTACCACCCTCCAAAAAGAAACTTTTAGCATTATTTAAAAAATAATTTGCCTAAAACGTATCCTGACATGTTGGATCTTTGGAAACTTTGTGATCTCTGCTAGAATTTAAAATAAAGCTCCGTAGGTTTGGACAGAGTTTGGACAAACCTAAAGACAGACGAGGCCTGGTAGGTCGTGTCTGGGACCAAACAGTGTGGAGCTCACCTGAGGTTGTGACCATCACCATGGAGCTCCTCAGGTAATTGTTGGCAGGAACGTGGTAGCAGTGCAGCTCATTGCACATGAAGGTTCCCTTCCTGGCCTGTTTCCTGGCCACGTAGACGATGTACCCGTACAGAGAGCACATAGTGAGGATTGGCGCCACGATACCCGCTAACATCCACAGCACCACAAAATATCTGTTGTCAGGGGTGAAGCTCGGGCAGCAGAGGAACCGCGACTCGCTGTAGACGTAGCTGCCGAAGCCCAGCAGGGGCAGAGCGGCATTCACCAGGCAGAACAACCAAACCAGAACCAGCACCACCTGGCGTCGCCTGGCTGTCCAGATTCTGCTGTAGCTGAGGGCGAAGCAGATCTCAGTGAACTTGTCAAAGGTGGCCCAGGTGAGTGAGTGGATGGAGGTGGTCTGCAGGAGGAGGTAGATGAAGCCGCTGCCCTGACAGAAGGCGCCCTCGCTGGGGCAGCAGGAGGGCCAGGCCAGGCTGCTGTAGACCCCAAAGGGGATGGTGGAGAGTCCAAGGGCCAGGTCGCTCAGGCTGACGCTCAGGGTGAGGCCCATCGTGTCTGTCCAGAGCTCCTTGTTCAGGAGGAGCACCAGCAAGAGGAGGAGGTTCCCACAGGTGGAGGCCACGCCCGACAGAACCATTAGAGCGGCGTACAGTGTCCTCAGAGCGTCCGCCATCTTTAGACGGACTCACAGGACAGGAAGGACGACAGCAATTAATTCACAGATCAGACTGGACGTAAGAGGGCACTTTCACATGAGACCTGATTGTCCAGAACCAGCAGGAATCTAAACGTGTTCGGCTGCAGTACCTTTAATCTCCACTGGACATGCTGCTCCGATCAATCCCTGAATCAGAGTTCAGTCTCAGCTGGTGATCTCAGTCTGGGGCAGATTTTCAGAATAAAGGCTCCAGAAGTCTGGGATCTCGGATATTGAGCATTAAAGTGAAGAATGTTCTGGGATCTCACAGGTCATCACACCTCAGCTTGCTCCTCTTCCTCCTGCCTCCAGGACGATGCCAAAGTTGAACCCGGCCCTTTCAAAACAAGCAGATTACTCACTCATCCAAGAAATCTTTATTAACCATCAGAAAACTGTCCCTGACCCAGGTCATGCTATATTCCCAGGGTACGTCTAATCAGGTCGAGTTTCCTTTGACTTACCACTTCTAGATCTTATTGTTTTCTCAAAAAACAGAACAAACGATCAACTAATCGATTAATGGTCCTCAGAAACCAGACCCTTGCAGCTCCAAACCTCTTCACTGTCTGAGGTCCAGACCTGAACAGAAGTCTCTCATATAAACAGACTGTAAATCCATAAGCTTGTGGTCTGGATCACTGGTTGGACCTCAGTCACCACAGTGTTTAACTGATTTGTGATGAATCACAGTGGTGATCTAACCGAGCCTGAACTCTCAGAGGAAAGTTCACTGTGGGTCATGTTTTATCATCAGAGACCCATTAAAGTATAAACAGCAGCTTTACTGCCTTCTTTACTGTATCTACACCCGCATCTGTCTTTACTGCCACTTCAACTGTCTTTACAGCTGCTTCAAATGACTTTACAGCATCTTCTACCGTCTTTACTGCCACTTCAACTGTCTTTACAGATGCTTCTACTGTCCTTACTGCCACTTCAACTAAATTTACACCCGCTTCTACCGTCTTTACTGCCACTTCAACTGACTTCACTGCCACTTAAACTGTCTGTACAGCTGCTTCAAATGACTTTACAGCTGCTTCTACTGTCCTTACAGCTGCTTCAACTAAATTTACACCCGCTTCCACCGTCTTTACTGCCACTTCAACTGACTTTACTGCCACTTAAACTGTCTCTACAGCTGCTTCAAATTACTTTACAGCTGTTTCTATTGTCCTTACTGCCACTTCAGCTGACTTTACACCCGCTTCTACCGTCTTTACTGCCACTTCAACTGACTTTACACCCGCTTCTACCGTCTTTACTGCCACTTCAACTGACTTTACAGCTGCTTCTACTGTCCTTACTGACATTTAAATTGTCTTTACAGCATCTTCTGCTGTCTTTACTGCCACTTCAAATGACTTTACAGCTGCTTCTGCTGTCTTTACAGATGCTTCTACTGTCCTTACAGCTGCTTCAACTAAATTTACACCCGCTTCTACCGTCAGTTCGTCTACTGTCTTTACTGTAAGTAAGTAAGTAAAGTAAAAGTTTATTTCTATAGCACCTTTCACAGGTATAGGGCCACAAAGTGCTTCACAACAAAAACATTAATATCATAAAATACACACAATAAAAGCATAGACAGTACATGATCATATCAACCCACAAGTAGCTAATTGAAAGCCTGAACAAATAAATGTGTCTTTAGTCTGCATTTGAAGGCATCAACAGAATCAGAAGAGCGCATAGATGGTGGAAGGTCATTCCACAACCTAGGGGCAACAGCCTGAAAAGATCGGTCACCTCTAGTACGGTAGCGAGTGCGTGGAACCGTCAGCAGGTTCTGATCCACAGACCTCAGAGCACGCACAGGGGTATAACGCTGAATCAGGTCACTAATATAGGGTGGAGCCTGGCCATGTAAAGCTCTGAAAACTAAAACCAAAATTTTAAAATTTATCCTATAAGACACTGGTAGCCAATGAAGTTCTTTTAGGATTGGTGATATGTGAGACCTCCTATTAGTACGTGTTAAAATTCTGGCTGCAGAGTTTTGTACTAATTGCAGTCGAGAGAGCTCCTTCTGGTTTAGGCATAAAAATAAACTATTACAATAGTCTAACCGCGACGACACAAAGGCGTGAATGATTAGCTCCAAATCATTTCTTGAAACTATATTTCTAAGTTTTGAGATTTTCCTTAATTGAAAGAAGCAGTTTCTCGTCAGCTGCTTGCAGTGCTGCACTAACGACATGTCTTTGTCCAGGACAACTCCCAAATTTCTAAGACTTTGCTTAGCAGACTGGCCTAAATCACCCAAGTATTGTTTAATTCCTGGAATTGCATCCTCAGGGGCAATGATTAATGTTTCTGTTTTGTCTGCATTTAGCTGCAGGGAGTTTTCACTTAGCCATTTTTTAATTTCCACAAGACAATGGAGCAAGGAGTTTAACTTCCAGATCTCTGACGGCTTGAAGCAGCAGTAAAGTTGGATATCATCAGCAAATAGATGAAAAGAAACATCATTGTACCTTTGTATGATCTTTCCCAAAGGGATCAAATACAACAAAAATAAAACGGGGCCCAGAACAGAGCCTTGAGGCACTCCACAAAGCAAGTCTGCAGACTCAGACCTTATTTGGTTTGCTGTAACACTAAAACTACGCCCAGATAAATATGAGGTGAACCACTGCAGAACTGACCCTGACAGCCCTACTTGATCCCTTAATCTTTCCAGCAAAACCTGATGGTCGACGGTGTCAAAGGCGGAAGACAGATCCAAGAGAACTAGAACAGTGTGTTTTCCAGAATCAGCAGACATCATAATGTCATTTGACACTTTCAGTAAGGCCGTTTCGGTAGAGTGTTGTTTACGAAAACCTGACTGGAATGGCTCATGGATGTTACTATTATCCAGGTAAAATGTCAACTGTTCGCAGACTACCTTCTCAATGATCTTGGATAAAAACGGGAGCTTAGAAATAGGCCGAAAACTATTCAAATCCGACGGGTCCAAACCTGCCTTTTTTATTAACGGTTCCACTATAGCATGCTTAAAAGCATCTGGAAAAACGCCAGTAGACAGCGAGAGGTTAACCATTTTGGTTACACAAGCGCCAATATCTTCAAACACTTTTTTGAATAATCTGAATGGAATGACATCCGATGAACAGGAAGATGGCTTCATCCTGGTCACCAATTCAGAAATATCTGAAATCGTCACAGTCCTAAAAGTGGACCACATGCTGGAGACTGGCTTAAAGACAGCAGTGGTACCACACGAATGTAACGGGATTTTATCTTTAATCATTTTAATTTTATTAGTGAAAAAACCCAAAAAAGCATTGCTGTCAGCTTCACAAAAACAGGGATAACTGGGGCAGCAGGGCAAACAAGTGTATTGATCGTATCAAACAGCACTTTAGGATTTTTTTTATTTAATGTTATTAGTTGACGGAAATAGTCAGATCTGGCTTTTCCAACCGTCACATTATAGGACAACACAAGTTCTCTGAGATAAAGCCTGTGTACCTCAAGGCTAGTGGATTTCCACAGGCGTTCAGTCTTTCGACACATTCTCTTAAGTTTTAAAATCTCTTCATTAATCCAAGGCCACATTTTTTCCCGAGTAGGCAAGTTTGAATTAACAGGGGCCACCTGATCCAGAATCTTTTCACAGTGATTGTTTAAACAGTGAACAAAATCATCCACATCAGGGCAATCCATAACTAGAGCAGGATCAAACAAATCAGAGAAAGTATCTGCAGTATTTGCCGTGATAACACGTCTCTGAGACCTAACTACTGGAAGCTTTGGGTCAGAACTGAAGTGAAGATCAAACAGAACAATATTATGGTCGCTCATATAGACATCATTTACAGATACGTTTAATATATCTAGGCCAAGTGTAAAAACCAAGTCTAAAATATGGCCTTTTTGGTGAGTGGGCTCAGATACATGCTGATTAAAATTAAAAGTTTCAGTCAATGTTAAAAATTCCATTGCGGGGCAAGATGAGTTGTCATCTACATGAAGATTAAAATCCCCAAGGATTAAGACAGATTCCAGCTTAATTATAGAGGATAAGAATTCACTAAAATCCTTTAGAAAGACAGCAGCAGGGCCTGGAGGTCGATAGACCAGAATACAGTAGAAGGGGATAAAAAACCCACCTTTACCATCTGCAATTCAAAAGAAGAAAATTTTTGGGGCAAAATTTCATTACATTTGTGGAAATCCTTGTGCACAATAGCCAGTCCACCACCGCGACGAGAGGGGCGGGGCCTCCCAATAGCAGAGCAACCCACTGGGCAGAGCTCATTTAAATGAATAAGCTCGTCCTCTCTCTGCCATGTCTCTGACAAACACATAATATCCAGGCCTTCCCTTGTGAAAAGATCGTTTAATGAATGCGATTTATTCGCAATAGAACGAGCATTCAACAGGCCGAAATGCATTTTGGAGAACGTCACGGAGGCAGTGTCCCTGCTTTGCAACGGGATTGGTTGCAGGCACGACCAGCGGTCACATGGTCTTTTGCCGGTCCATTTGGAAAGAGCCGGCACAAACACGGAAGTAAACATTTGCGGCGAAAGTCTCGGACCACCACTCCAGCGCTGTGAAGGATCCAGGACACCCGTTGAAATCCGAACAGGCGGCGGCGAAGCTACGCTGCCGCACACATCGTGAAGAGGAATCCGCCGCAGGCACTGAATGCGGTCCCGGCGGCCGAAGACAACAAAGCCACCGCGCGCTGCGGCACGCCTACGCCTGACCTGGACACCGGACCGCAAGCCTCTTTTCCTGAATCTCCTACGGACCCTACCCGGAGCCCGGTATAGTAGCAAGTAGTCAGGAGAGTCAGGATCGATAGCAAATGGAGGAGGAAATGCCTGTTTGAACCTGTCGTAATTATCAAACAGGACCTCCATCGACTCTCTGATGTGAAACAAAGAGTCCCGGTCATAAGTCCATACAGCCAGAACACATCCATCTGTTATGCAGGCTGAGATGATCACGTACACTGAGAAACAGAGCATTAATAATTTACACAGCAGGAAACGAGCCACTTCAACTAAATTTATACCCACTTCTATCGTCTTTACTGCCACTTCAACTGACTTTACTGCCACTTCAAATGACTGTCCAGCTGCTTCAAATGACGTTACAGCTGCTTCAACTAAATTTACACCCGCTTCTACCGTCTTTACTGCCACTTCAACTGACTTTACTGCCACTTCATCTGACTTTACTGCCACTTCAACTGTCTGTACAGCTGCTTCAAATGACTTTACAGCTGCTTCTACTGTCCTTACTGCCACTTAAACTGACTTTACACCGCTTCTACCGTCTTTACTGCCACTTTAACTGTCTTTACTGCCGTTTCAACTTTCTTTACAGCTGCTTCAAATTACTTTACAGCTGCTTCTACTGTCCTTACTGCCACTTAAACTGACTTTACACCCGCTTCTACCGTCTTTACTGCCACTTCAACTGACTTTAAACCCGCTTCTACCGTCTTTACGTCCACTTCAACTGTCTTTACAGCTGCTTCAACTGACTTTACAGCTTCTTCTACCGTCTTTACTGCCTTTGAGTCTTTACAGTCACTTGTCTTTACTGCCATTTCAAATGTCTTTACGCCCACTTCTTATCTGGCTTTAGTTTTCCTGTCTTGTTCTTTCTGCCATCTTTATTTCACCTCAGCTTCACCTGGACTTCCTGTTTTAGAAGCATTGAGTTTTCTGGCTCCCAGAATTCAGACTCAGTCAGTGAAAACACCAAACGTCCGTGTTGTTCCGTGTTGTTGACACCAGACGTCAGTAAATCCTGCTGAGCTGGTTGGTTGGACCTCTGTCCCCACAGAGATCAGCTCAGTTTAGGTTTGATGAGACACCGTAAAGCAGCCACTGAGTAACCTTCCCTGAGTTTCCACCGGTGGAACCAGAGTCTTAATCGGTTCCTGGCCCCCCTAAGAGTCTCCCAGTTCTGCACCCTTAAACTCTTCAGTGACCCCGGATGTCTGGAGCACTGGAGGGGGAAACACCAACCGTATAAGACTCCGGTCCTGCTGCTGAGGTCCCTTCAGTCGTCTTTCTCCGAACAGCAAAGGTCAAAGGTCAAAGCAGACTAAAGCCTGTAATCAATATCAGCCATCAGTTTCATCCTCATCGTCTTTAAATGTGAGCCGAGACCATCAGAGTCTGATCGGCTCTGAGTCTGAACAAGGACTGCAGGAGGCGTGTCCTGCTGAGTGTGCACACCTGTCAGTTACCTGCTGGGATGATGATGAGGACACACACACACACACACACACACACACACACACACACACACACACACACACACACACACACACACACACACACACACAGGATATTGGCTGTTCAGGTGGTGTTGACATAACAGTGTGTGTGTCCTCTCATCATCATCCCAGCAGGTGACTGACAGGTGCACCGTGGCAACACTACCTCTGGAGACGCACACATACACTGTTATGTCAACACAGCCTGTGTGTGTGTGTGTGTGTGTGTGTGTGTGTGTGTGTGTGTGTGTGTGTGTCCCACAGTGACTCAGGTAATAACAGGTGTTCAGGTGTGTAATCATCATCATCATCCTGTTGCTAAGGAGCCTCAGACCACTGAGGAGCTCAGGTTCAGGTGTGAAGCGGCCAATCAGAGAGCAGAGTGTATGTGGATCGTTTGGACCGGCCTCGTCATTACCAACACGCCTCTCGTCAGACTTCTGAATGTAGAGATCAGGTTGTCGATTGATAACTGATCCTCAGTCCTGATGTTTCCAGCTGCTGAACCTGTTTGTTGTTTGTGTGTTGCAGCACAACGCTCCGATCCCTCAGGGCGGCCGCGGAGCGATACAGTTCGTCACCCAGTACCAACACTCGTCCGGACAGAGGCGCATCAGAGTCACCACCACCGCCAGGAAGTATGACCACACACACAGCCATGTTCCCATCACCTCAGAGACTCACCCTAACCTTAAAGTCTTCATCCTAAAACTTAATGATGTTGCTGCAGCGGCCTGTGTATTGGAAATCTACACAGCTGATTTCTCACCTCAAAACTTCTCAGAAGTGGATTTAGTGATGAAATAACGTGTGAAAACTGTAAAATATAAAACTTCCTGCTGCTGACCTCTGATGCAGTGAATAGTGAATATTCTCTCTGACCAATCAGCAGTCTGTCGTGTTTTCACGTCACATTTTAGTTTCGCCTCAGCTCGCTTGGAACCTCGACGGAGGTGATAAAAAAAATAGTACCTGGATGCAGGTACAGGTGCAAGTTTTCCACAATGGAAAACCAAACAAAGGCGAGACGAGCTGGTACCGTGCGGTGGAAAAGGGATTATGGATAAAGCAGGAAACGTCTCTAAAATGTTCCCAGTCTCGTTAGACATCTCGGCTCCAGAGACTGGTGTTTTCCTCTTCATGAGTAGCCTCAGAGTCATGGCAGACCGAGGAAGCCCCCAGGCACTTCCTGCAGCTACAGATGAACGACCAGAGACGTTCTTAAGGGAACATTGTTATCTCTGAAGAACATCTCTGGAACGATTCTGAGTCGATGTATTAAGGCTCATCTTCTTCTCTTCCCCTCTTCATCCTCTCCCCCCTCCAGCTGGGCGGATGCTCAGACTCAAATCCAGAGCATCGCAGCGTCCTTCGATCAGGAGGCGGCGGCCATCTTGATGGCGAGGTTGGCGGTGTACCGAGCGGAGACGGAGGAGGGTCCTGATGTCCTGCGATGGTTGGACAGACAGCTGATCAGACTGGTGTGCAGACAGCTGAACATACAAACATGTCTTAATAATTATCTTAATGAATTAAAGGCTGACGTGACCTTTGATTTGTTTTCAGTGTCAGAAGTTTGGAGATTACCACAAAGACGATCCAAACTCCTTCAGGTTCTCCGAGACTTTCTCCCTCTACCCTCAGGTGAGCTACATCCCAGAAAACTCTGCTGTACACACTGTCAACACACCTTTAACCTGTGTTTCTTTTTACAGTTCATGTTCCACCTGCGGCGCTCTCCGTTCCTGCAGGTGTTCAACAACAGTCCAGACGAGAGCTCTTATTACAGACACCATTTCAACAGACAGGACCTGACCCAGGCCCTCATCATGATCCAACCTGTGCTCTACGCCTATTCATTCAGCGGGCCACCTGAGGTAGATATACACCTGTAGAGAGACACGCGCACACGTAGAGAGACACGCGCACACGTAGAGAGACACGCGCACACGTAGAGAGACACGCAGAGAGACACGCGCACACGTAGAGTGACACGCAGAGAGACACGCGCACACGTAGAGAGACACGCGCACACGTAGAGAGACACGCGCACACGTAGAGTGACACGCAGAGAGACACGCGCACACGTAGAGAGACACGCAGAGAGACACCTGCAGGTATACACACAAACGTGTAGATACATACACACACATGTGCACCTGCAGGTATACACACACAAACACACGCACCTGTAGGTATACGCACGCTGTCACAATCACTGTCTCAGTGATTGATCAGTGATCAGAGTTTGTTGTGTGTTTCAGCCCGTCCTGTTGGACAGCAGCAGCATCCTGCCCGACCGAATCCTGCTGATGGACACCTTCTTCCAGATCCTCATCTACCACGGAGAGGTGCACACACAAACACACACACACAGAGTATGCAGGTCAACACACGCTGTTGTTTTGCTAACCAGCATACTGATGCATGTAAACACCTGAAGCAGGTGTGACCTCCTGACGTTGTGTACACACAAACACAAATATGCAGACACACTCTGTTCATGTGTTTATGTAGACACACACACACACGCTTCACCTGCTGTGTGTCACATGATGACCTTCCTCTCCCCCCTCTCCTCCTCATTAACCCCTCGTCACCGTCTGTCAGACCGTCGCTCAGTGGAGGAAGGCCGGGTATCAGGAAATGGCCGAGTACGAGAACTTCAGGCACCTCCTCCAGGCACCGGTGGACGACGCCCAGGAGCTGCTGCACACTCGCTTCCCCATGCCCAGATACATCGACACGGAGCACGGCGGCAGCCAGGTGGGGCCGCTAACACATGCATCACTGTACACAGGTGTACCTGAGAGTACACACTCTATACGCTACATTACTATATTGTTGTACTACGTAGTACGATACAGTGAAGAAAAAACTATTCATCACAAATAATTAAATCAAGTCAGTTTTATTTATAAAGCCTAAGATCACATCGTCATATCAGTAGAAATAGAAATAATGAAGTTGGGAAATAGAATATAAGTATGAAGTCTAAATTTAACTAAGAGTGTAGAAATGTAAAGTATTTTACAGAAGGTTATAAGTAGGTATAAGTTTTATTAAATATTTCAAAGCGTCTAAACTAAGATGAGCTGAGACGAAACTACACAAGTTTCATAGTATAAATACACATTAAATACATGTACACAGAGTGAGTTGAACCTTTTGGAGTTCTGAGTATCACGTTCACCGCTTGATGTCTTCCAGGCTCGCTTCCTGCTCTCCAAAGTCAACCCCTCCCAGACTCACAACAACATGTACACCTGGGGACAGGTGAGCCTCTGACCTTTGACCTTTAGCTTCAGTGTTGACGTGGAACCCGTTGTGACGTTCCGTTTCCTCCGCAGGAGTCCGGCGCTCCCATTCTGACCGACGACGTCAGCCTGCAGGTGTTCATGGATCACCTGAAGAAGCTCGCCGTCTCCAGCGCCGCCTGAACTCGCCTGCCACCTCTTCACCTGTCCACGTTATGTTTGTTCTTTACTTTTGCATTCGCTGCCTACAACCAGCCAACCAACAAGCCGTGTTAACGTCCTCGTATCAGCCAATCAGCAGCAGGTTCAGAACCGTGTCACCTTTCTTCTGCACGACATTTTTACACCTGCAGCCTCTTGAAGTGTTTAAATGCGACGAGCTGAGAAGCAGTTAGACATGTTCGTCACACAGTTTCAGAAGGTTAAATATGTCCTTTCTATCGTCATTATATATTTATCTATATTTTTCTGATGAATTGTTAAGTCTTAGCCAACTCTCCCTGTAATATTTAAAACTGATCTACGGAAAAAGGTAACGAGCAACAAGCCGGCGGCACCAACCTCGCCGAAAGAGTTCCTGTAGTTGCTTCACAATAAAAGCTTCCATGTGATTTGTCTATTTTAAGCTTTTAATGTGAAACAGCAGCAGTAAGTGATTATTGTCTATTACAGAATCTTAGCACCGCAGGTGCAGGCGAGCGTTCTGATTGGTGGAAACAACAACTGATCAACAAATCGTATCAGACTTACATTGGTTTCCAGTCATTTCTGTAAGGTATCAAATCTGTTAAACTATCTGAAATCTAAAACATGTAAGTTTGTGATTTCAGGAGCTGAGAGTTCAACACACCATGTTAGTGAAACAGCTGACCTCAGATCTGTCTGAACACATTTCAAGCAGTTTTTCAGAAAGCATGAAAACAGTCAGCTGTTAGCACATGGTGACTGAAGACCTAGAGAAGCTTTGTGTTTTGTGATCAGCACGTTTCAGAAACCTGTAGCAGCTGTTTGATGTAAACATGACATAATCAGATTACATTAGATCATTCTCTAGTAGAATTATCAGTTACTGTGTCTACAGTCGCTGATCTGCGGACGGCTGCTGTTTTTCGTTGAGTTTCTCTTTGAAGTTGCTGAACACTAAAAGTCCTGCAGAGAGAAGTTCATGTTTTCACTGAGTCTTTATTCTCATGTTTCTAATAAAACTGTGCTGTGGAGAAGTTCACCATGTCTGTCATTTTCTGCTGTCTTTACTGCCACTTCCACTGTCTTTACTGACTGTCCTCCTGTCTTTACTGACACTTCCACTGTCTTTATTGACTGTCCTCCTGTCTTAACTGACGCTTCCACTGTCTTTATTGACTGTCCTCCTGTCTTTACTGACACTTCCACTGTCTTTATTGACTGTCCTCCTGTCTTTACTGCCACTTCCACTGTCTTTACTGACTGTCCTCCTGTCTTTACTGACACTTCCACTGTCTTTATTGACTGTCCTCCTGTCTTTACTGACGCTTCCACTGTCTTTACTGACTGTCCTCCTGTCTTTATTGATGCTTCCACTGTCTTTACTGACTGTCCTCCTGTCTTTACTGACACTTCCACTGTCTTTACTGACTGTCCTGCTGTCTTCACTGACTGTCCTCCTGTCTTCACTGACTGTCCTCCTGTCTTTACTGACGCTTCCACTGTCTTTATTGACTGTCCTCCTGTCTTAACTGACGCTTCCACTGTCTTTACTGACTGTCCTCCTGTCTTTACTGACGCTTCCACTGTCTTTATTGACTGTCCTGCTGTCTTCACTGACTGTCCTCCTGTCTTCACTGACTGTCCTCCTTTCTTTACTGACTGTCCTCCTGTCTTTACTGACACTTCCACTGTCTTTACTGACTGTCCTTCTGTCTTTACTGACTGTCCTCCTGTCTTTACTGACACTTCCACTGTCTTTATTGACTGTCCTACTGTCTTTACTGACGCTTCCACTGTCTTTACTGACTGTCCTCCTGTCTTTACTGACGCTTCCACTGTCTTTACTGACTGTCCTCCTGTCTTTACTGACTGCTTCCACTGTCTTTACTGACTGTCCTACTGTCTTTACTGACTGCTTCCACTGTCTTTATTGACTGTCCTACTGTCTTTACTGACTCTTCCACTGTCCTTACTGACTCTTCCACTGTCTTTACTGACTCTTCCACTGTCCTTACTGACTGTCCTCCTGTCTTTATTGACTGTCCTACTGTCTTTACTGACTCTTCCACTGTCTTTACTGACTCTTCCACTGTCCTTACTGACTCTTCCACTGTCTTTACTGACTCTTCCACTGTCCTTACTGACTGTCCTCCTGTCTTTATTGACACTTCTACTGTCTTTACTGACTGTCCTCCTGTCTTTATTGACGCTTCCACTGTCTTTACCGACTGTCCTCCTGTCTTTATTGACGCTTCTACTGTCTTTACTGACTGTCCTCCTGTCTTTACTGACTCTTCCACTGTCCTTACTGACTCTTCCACTGTCTTTACTGACTCTTCCACTGTCCTTACTGACTGTCCTCCTGTCTTTATTGACTTTCCTACTGTCTTTACTGACTCTTCCACTGTCTTTACCGACTGTCCTCCTGTCTTTATTGACGCTTCCATTGTCTTTACCGACTGTCCTCCTGTCTTTATTGACGCTTCTACTGTCTTTACTGACTGTCCTCCTGTCTTTACTGACTCTTCCACTGTCCTTACTGACTCTTCCACTGTCTTTACTGACTCTTCCACTGTCCTTACTGACTGTCCTCCTGTCTTTATTGACTGTCCTACTGTCTTTACTGACTCTTCCACTGTCTTTACCGACTGTCCTCCTGTCTTTATTGACGCTTCCACTGTCTTTACTGACTGTCCTCCTGTCTTTATTGACGCTTCTACTGTCTTTACCGACTGTCCTCCTGTCTTTATTGACGCTTCTACTGTCTTTACTGACTGTCCTCCTGTCTTTACTGACTCTTCCACTGTCCTTACTGACTCTTCCACTGTCTTTACTGACTCTTCCACTGTCCTTACTGACTGTCCTCCTGTCTTTATTGACTGTCCTACTGTCTTTACTGACTCTTCCACTGTCTTTACCGACTGTCCTCCTGTCTTTATTGACGCTTCCACTGTCTTTACCGACTGTCCTCCTGTCTTTATTGACGCTTCCACTGTCTTTACCGACTGTCCTCCTGTCTTTATTGACGCTTCTACTGTCTTTACTGACTGTCCTCCTGTCTTTACTGACTCTTCCACTGTCCTTACTGACTCTTCCACTGTCTTTACTGACTCTTCCACTGTCCTTACTGACTGTCCTCCTGTCTTTATTGACTGTCCTACTGTCTTTACTGACTCTTCCACTGTCTTTACCGACTGTCCTCCTGTCTTTATTGACGCTTCCACTGTCTTTACCGACTGTCCTCCTGTCTTTACTGCCACTTCCACTGTCTGTACTGACTGTCCTCCTGTCTTTACTGCCACTTCCACTGTCTGTACTGACTGTCCTCCTGTCTTTATTGATGCTTCCACTGTCTTTATTGACTGTCCTTCTGTCTTTACTGACGGTCCTCCTGTCTTTACTGACTGTCCTACTGTCTTTACTGACTGTCCTCCTGTCTTTACTGACTGTCCTACGGTCTTTACTGAAACTTTCACTGTCTTTACTGACTGTCCTCCTGTCTTTACTGCCTCTTCCACTGTCTTTACTGACACTCCCACTGTCTTTACTGCCGCTTCCACTGTCTTTACTGACACTTCCACTGTCTTTACTGACTGTCCTGCTGTCTTTACTGACTGTCCTCCTGTCTTTACTGCCACTTCCACTGTCTTTAATGACTGTCCTCCTGTCTTCACTGCCGCTTCCACTGTCTTTACTGACTGTCCTCCTGTCTTTACTGACACTTCCACTGTCTTTACTGACTCTTCCACTGTCTTTACTGACTGTCCTCCTGTCTTTATTGACGCTTCCACTGTCTTTACTGACTCTTCCACTGTCTTTACTGACTGTCCTCCTGTCTTTACTGACACTTCCACTGTCTTTATTGACTGTCCTCCTGTCTTTACTGACTGTCCTACTGTCTTTACTGACGCTTCCACTGTCTTTACTGACTGTCCTCCTGTCTTTACTGACGCTTCCACTGTCTTTACTGACTGTCCTCCTGTCTTTATTGACGCTTCCACTGTCTTTACTGACTCTTCCACTGTCTTTACTGACTGTCCTCCTGTCTTTACTGACGCTTCCACTGTCTTTATTGACTGTCCTACTGTCTTTACTGACTCTTCCACTGTCCTTACTGACTCTTCCACTGTCTTTACTGACTCTTCCACTGTCCTTACTGACTGTCCTCCTGTCTTTATTGACTGTCCTACTGTCTTTACTGACTGTCCTACTGTCTTTACTGACTCTTCCACTGTCTTTACTGACTCTTCCACTGTCCTTACTGACTGTCCTCCTGTCTTTGACTGTCCTACTGTCTTTACTGACTCTTCCACTGTCTTTACTGACTGTCCTCCTGTCTTTATCGACGCTTCCACTGTCTTTACTGACTGTCCTCCTGTCTTTACTGAAACTTTCACTGTCTTTACTGACTGTCCTCCTGTCTTTACTGCCTCTTCCACTGTCTTTACTGACACTTCCACTGTCTTTACTGACTGTCCTCCTGTCTTTACTGCCTCTTCCACTGTCTTTAGTGACACTTCCACTGTCTTTACTGACACTTCCACTGTCTTTAGTGACTGTCCTGTTTTTACTGACGCTTCCACTGTCTTTACTGACTGTCCTCCTGTCTTTACTGAAACTTTCACTGTCTTTACTGACTGTCCTCCTGTCTTTACTGACGCTTCTACTGTCTTTACTGTTTAACACAGAAACCTGCCTCCAGGTTTTATCACTGTTGCCATGAAGACAAACTAAATAAAACGTTTAAGTCTGAACACGACCCCATCTGCTCATCAGGTGACCTCCTGTGGGTTCGGGGCCACAGGTTGAGTAAGATAGTATTTGTATTCATGGATCCACAGGAAGTCGTTTTCTCCTCGTTGGAGCAGCAGGACCCCTGACCAATAATCAATAGTCTGTTTATCACATCGGAGGTGTGCGTGAGCTCACCTGAGCGTCACCTGATCAACGACATCATCCAGACGTCCTCAGCTGAGCCGGCAGAGGAGCATCATCGTTCAGCGCCTCACCTGCTGCAGGTGGACAGGTGACACCACAGAAGAAGAGAGACCCTGAAGAAGCTGCTTGGATCAATATGAAATGTGCCAGTGAATCACCTGAATGAACCGCAAACCAGTCAGCGATTCATCCAATCAGTGAAGCAGTTGCGCGTCGGACGTCACATGTCACGTCACGTGATTTTTTTGGCACCTGAGCAAGCTCTGAAGCCGAGATTCAGCGGGATTGTAGTTCAGCGTTTGAAGCGCGTATCGAAGCTGCAGTGTCGCACTGACATCACTATGTTGAAGGCAGCCAGTACCAGGTGGCTGATAGTATATACTGGTAGTAGAAGGGATTTTACTGGTAATACTGGCTTTATTGGTACTATACTAGTATTACCTGTACTATTACTGCTTGTGTTTTGTAAAGTCTTGTAATTTTAAGATACTAGTCTTAGTAATACTGGTCATACTGTGTACAGGTGTTAGTACTGGTTGTACTGGTTGTACTGATGATGGACTAACTGGTTCTTCTCAGTGATGTCATAATGAGCTTTAAAAAAGGACCAATCAGGAGCAGGTGTTCCATAAATACCTTCAAAATAAAAGCCTCTGATCTTTTAATTTCAGATAAATCTGATGAAGATTAACACACACACACACACACACAATCATCTTACCCATCGCAGCGTTACCATGGCAACAGTGGTCCAATAGACATAGCTCCGCCCCCTCCATGACCTTCGACTTCCTGCCATTCTTCACACACTTCCTCCAGGAAGCATCTGGGTCGTTTCCACTATTTGTTCAATACAATGCTGCTGTGTGTGTGTGTTACTGTGTGTGTGTGTGTGTGTGTGTGTGTGTAATGTGTGTGTTAATGTGTGTGTGTTTTAATGTGTGTGTGTGTTACTGTGTGTGTGTGTGTTTTAATGTGTGTGTGTTTTAATGTCTGTGTGTGTTACTGTGTGTGTGTGTGTGTGTGTTAATGTGTGTGTGTGTTACTGTTAATGTGTGTGTTTGTTAATGTGTGTGTTAATGTGTGTGTGTTTAATGTGTGTGTGTTACTGTGTGTGTGTGTGTTTTAATGTGTGTGTGTTTTAATGTCTGTGTGTGTTACTGTGTGTGTGTGTGTTAATGTGTGTGTGTGTTTGTTAATGTGTGTGTTAATGTGTGTGTGTTTTAATGTGTGTGTGTGTTACTGTGTGTGTGTGTGTGTGTTAATGTGTGTGTTAATGTGTGTGTGTGTTACTGTGTGTGTGTTTGTTAATGTGTGTTAATGTGTGTGTGTTTTAATGTGTGTGTGTTACTGTGTGTGTGTGTGTGTGTAATGTGTGTGTGTGTTACTGTTAATGTGTGTGTTTGTTAATGTGTGTGTTAATGTGTGTGTGTTCAGTAGCAGGTTCATTAATCACACACTTCCTGTCAGACTGATCAAAGTGTTTCACACCCGACAAAATCTGTGAAATCAAAGAAGAAGAAATCAGTTAGACAAGTCGCTCACAGTCAAACAATAACCTGGATTACCAGGACCTCCTCCAGGACCTCCTCCAGGACTCCTGGAGCCTTCTCAGGGACCGCCAGTCATCAGGAGGAACGCCTAGAAACAATAAAAACATGAATCAGCTTCATTTTCCCACTTCCTGTTTGTTAGGAAATGTCGTGTTCATGAAGTTAAACGGGTTCTTCGTACCTTTTCAAGGAACCCTGACACTTCTTCAAGGACCTCTGGGAGCTTTTCAAGGCATATGAAACCTCCTCAAGGACTAGAACTAGTGAATGAACCTGAAATTTGGAAATCTGATCTTTTAACTCTTCTGAACCAAACTCCATTCAGAAATGACCCACTTTAAAACTCTTTTTATTTACTTTGTTTGTTTTCTCAGGACACGTCTGTTGGTGTTTTAATATTTAACACCAGTTATCAATAGATGTGTTCCTCCAGCAGGCATCAGGCTGTGAATCTCGTAAATCTGATAAAGGTGATTTCGTTCTCTAACTCTGACCGAACTGACCTTTACCTCTTCCTCTCATCCAATCAGAGGGCAGATACTTCAGTCTCTCTGTGCACGATCAATAACGTTTGTCTCACTGTGAAAATGATGAAAGTCAGACTGAGATTTGGTTCAAACATCAAACTGGTTTCAGAGTCTCCACTCTGAGGTTAGTTTCTTGTCTCTCTCTCGGGGTGAAACAGCTCGCCATATCAAGACACAACACACTTCCTGTCCAGGCGAGCAGGGTGGGGGGGGGCTGGACGAGGGGGGGGTGAGGCTGTCAGCCGGTCTGTCAGTAGAGCTACTGTGGAGGAGAAACCAGCACAAACTGGGAGAGACTCTGGAAGAAAAGGAGAATATGTGGAAAAGGGAGAAACAGTAAAAACCAGAAGAGAAGAAGAAGCTGAGGCGACAGCGAGGAAAAAGGAGGACGAGCTGAGCCTCAGTCGGACGGTAAGAAAGTCAGATTTGTGTCTTTTTGAATGTAAACGAGAGAATTAAAATGATAAAGATCCATCAGACATCCTGAGAGGGAAGCTTCCTTCTTCCTTTGATCACAACACTAAATATTTTTACTCTCAGAGCTGTTTTAGATTCTTAAAACATAAAACCTGTCAGAATAAAAGTTGATTTCCACTGAACAGAGTTTGATTTAGTTTCTGTGTTTGCCACTGAGATAACGAGAGATCAGAAAGAAAGAAACTTCAGAAAGTGAACAGTTTCCTGTTGGATGATGAAAGCAGGTGGAAGAGTTTATTTTTACAGACACACGTTCACCAAAGAAAAAAAAGAGACAACTTATCTCATAATTATGAGCAAAGATCTGGATTTAATCTGCTTTTATTTCTTCTCTGTATGAGACACAGACACGGCATTAATATTAGTCTGTTACACTGCTCTACCATGCAGATTTCAAAATAAAAGTGCTGGTGAACATAACTTCATATTCAGTAGGTATGGCAGAAATGAAAGTGAAATGAAATAAATAAATAAGGATCTAAAAAATGTCTCGTATTTTCACTGAACCTTCTCTGAATTCACAGATCAATCTTTTCTTTTACTTGGCTGGTTTGGGATTTGGCTTTTTCTTTTCAGTCTATAGCAACTCACCTTTTACAAAAACAGCAGGGGAAAAGAACAAAACACAAAATCTAAGGTAACGGGCGGTTCTGCTGAGCACAGCCTGCTTCATTTAGTTAAACACACCTGAAATGAATCAGAAAGACACTGAAATGGCCTCTCTGCTCTCTGCAGTCTGTTCTTATAGAAATAATGACGATAACGTGATGGTTTTAACAACACCTATTACGAGTAGATCAAACGGCACACAGGTCGGCCAGCAGAACAAAAGCTTAACCAACTTAAATTGTCTGATTTCCTCTGTAGTGGAAAAACAAAACAATAGCAGGTGAGGCGTGGCGAGCCGCCGTAGGAGAATTATATCCAATTTACACAACCTCTCCCACAGTCTGCTCCAGTAATCCAGAGGTCCCAACATATAATCCACCAAAAACTGTTATTCCTTGGCTCCTGCAGAGCCCACTCAGACCGCTTCACCTATTGCACCTCCGCCACGATCCTTTAAAACCTAACAATAATAAAATAACATGATAGGATATCTGATATAACATACAGGTTTAATGTAGCATGTTCACACCATCTGTACATGAAGGGAGTACTGGTGACTGTCACGAGCAGTTTTGTACCAGATCTTCAGTTTCTCTCCTGGAACAGCTTCACGTCTCAGAACCAGAACAGACTGACGACTTTCAGGAGAAAGTTCTGTGTTTCTGGCCGTTTTGAGCCCCTGATGGAACCTGATGCTCCAGATACTCAACTAGTCTGAAGAAGACGATTTTATATCTTCTTTAATCAGCACAACAGTTTTTACTGCGCTAACATGAGTGTAAAGGGCTTTTTAACGATTACTTGGTGTAATAAATGAAACTCAGGTTAGCAAACCCAACGTGAGCACAGGCCTCTGTAAATATTCTATTACAAACCAGCACACTGTCCACGCTGGGTCTCTGATCAATCTGATGTTATAAACAAGTACATATCAGAGTGACTTTTGAACACAGCGTTTGCATGCGTGTATCCATTTTGAAAATGAGACGGCTCTGGGCATCAATATCTCCCTGAAGGACAACGAGTCACATTAACCTGAATTCAGTGGAAATATAATAATATTTCTTTAGATACTCGTAAAATCTTAATCTTTCATTTCTGCACACCTAGTGGATATTACATTATGTTCACCAGAAGCTCACTTTTATTTTGAAATCTGCTGTGACACAATGTTACCGTAATGCCTAGAGAATACGCGCATCGCAAAACAGGGAGCTGGCTTGTTCTGATCGACAGTGATGAGACAAAAATTGAGCTTTATGGTCTAAACTCCACTCGCCGTGTTTGGAAGGAGGAGGATGAGTACAACCCCAAGAACACCATCCCAACCGTGAAGCATGGAGGTGGAAACATCATTCTTTGGGGATGCTTTTCTGCAAAGGGGACGGGACGACTGCACCGTAGTGAGGGGAGGATGGATGGGGCCATGTATCGCGAGATCTTGTCCGACAACCTCCTTCCCTCAGTAGGAGCATTGAAGATGGGTCGTGGCTGGGTCTCCCAGCATGACGACGACCCGAAACACACAGCCAGGGCGGCTAAGGAGCGGCTCCGTAAGAAGCATCTCAAGGTCCTGGAGTGGCCTAGCCAGTCTCCAGACCTGAACCCAATAGAAGATCTTTGGAGGGAGCTGAAAGTCCGTATTGCCCAGCGACACCCCGGAAACCTGAAGGATCTGGAGAAGGTCTGAATGGAGGAGTGGAATCCATCCATTGTCAACCGATTATCCTGTGTTCAGGGTCGCGGGGACCCGACCTTCAAAATTTAACATTGTAAAATCTTTGCTAAAGCTTGGTGTCACAAACTTACCATCATTAAAGAACTAAAGAATAAATTGAATTAATTACAGTAAAGCAGTAAATTAGTATCACAGTGAACAGCATTATAAATTACCTTCAACAGCATGCAGCAAAATAAGAGTGAGTTCCAAAATTTAACTTTGTAAAATCTTTGCTAAAGCTTTGTGTCACAAACTTACCATCATTATCACTCCAAAGCTGTAGCTCAGTCTGTGTCTCTTCTTCTCTGTCCTCTCTCTTTCTGGTGTAGCATAGGCTGTGCAGGGTGAAGTGAGGAATGTGCTCCTCCCCCCGCACCTCCTTCCCTCCCAAAAATATTCAGGGCCACTTTATTGAGAATTTACAGTTTTACCTGTTATTCAGAAATAACTTGGATGCATGCACAAATATCAAGGATTGCAGTATTAGCAGCAAAAGGTACTTTATCCAGGGTTCAATTATATAAAATGTCTTATTACACTAGTGCAGTCATTTAAACTTTCTCTTAGGGGAATTAGGGGAATTCAGGTTTGTCTGTGGTGCTTGGTCATTTTTATGACCTTTGTGGAATGGTGAAGTATCTTTATCTTATTTTGTATTTGCTCTTCATAATTATAAATTAGGACTAAAATGCTCAGCAGCATGATCCTATTTTTTATTGTTTTTTGTAAGTAATCACTAAAACAGGTTTATCAACTTTTACTAAACCTTTGGAATAATTCTGTCCCAAATATTGTGAAATTAAATTGTCCAGTTATTACGACCACAGGATTTTTATCAATTTTGCAATGTACTTGTTTCCTCAGTCTAAATTTTATAGGATTGCACTTTATTTATTGACTGCATTACAGAAACGTCCATTGTTGGCTGGCACGTAATGACACGGAGTTCCCTCTTAGTTCCTTCCTAGCTAGCATGGAGCGACACTCCAGCATGGATGAATAAAAGAATGGGGTATTTCTATTAAGAGAATATTGTAATCTAAACTATATATTTCATTTTTAGTTACACTTACAAAATAAGGACAATTCTTATGTAGCAAAAAAACCAAAACTACAAGTGTTAACAGCAAATAATTAATAAATAACTCTAAATGTAGTCTTTCAGTAACATATAGACTATGTCCCTCATTCTAAACTAACTTACTCATAACTAAGTCAGTAGTCACACTAACAGGCCTCCTCTTTCCCTTTAGTAAAGAAAGCTAGAATTATAAAAAAATATGATAATTTACAACTTAATTAACTGGAAACTTCAAGAGCTAAAGTTTGATCCTTCTACTGAGAACCAGCTGCCTTTTGCTAATTAGGGTTTATTAGACTATTACAGAGGTCATGAAATCCAGAACCCTTCCCTTGGGGATGAAGTGTTCAAATGCTAGTTAACTACTTTGTTGACATAGCAGGACAGTAGTTTTCTGTTGATGAAAATAAAACAGAAGGTTAGGATTAGAAGGGAGAAGGGAAATGAAAACAATTGCAAAGCACTGCAACAGTCTAGATAAATATCGACCATAAATATTACACCAAAAAAAATGTAAAGATACAATAAAAACAACTAAACTAAAAATATGTATGGAGGAGGTCAAAATCCCTGCTGCAGTGTGTGCAAACCTGGTCAAGAACTACAGGAAACGTCTGATCTCTGTAACTGCAAACAAAGGTTTCTGTACCAAATATTAAATTCTGCTTTTCTGATGTATCAAATACTTCTGTCATGCAATAAAATGCTAATTAATTAATATAAACAGGTGCAGATAATACAGGTAATGAGTGGAGAACAGGAGGACTTCTTAAAGGAGGACTAACAGGTCTCTGAGAGCCGGAATTCTTACTGGTTGGTAGGTGATCAAATACTTCTGTCATACAGTAAAATGCAAATTCATTATTTGAAAATCATACAATGTGATTTTCTGGATTTTTGTTTTAGTTTCCGTCTCTCACAGTTGAAGTGAACCTATGATAAAAATTACAGACCTCTACATGCTCTGTAAGTAGGAAAACCTGCAAAATCAGCAGTGTATCAAATACTTGTTCTCCCCACTGTGTGTTCGACATTGACACACTAATATTAATATTATCCACATTCAGTACCAACAGTGTTTCTCAGTGTCTCACACAGAGAAGGAAATAAAAGCAGATTAAACCTTTCCTGAAGTGTCGGCCATGACAGACACTACTGGCTTCCTTAACCTTTCTCATAATTACAAGATCAGGTAACGAAAAGTCCTAACAAGAGTCTTTCTTGGAAAGAAACAAATTCAAAGTAGATTGTTAGCCAAGGGGAAAAATGTTGATGATCACTTTTCCCAGACAACACGATCCAGGCCTGCACAGCTGTGTCACTTTACACTTTACACTACATTCATACATCTTTAGAATATTGGGCCTGTCGCTGTATGTTTTATACTATTTATTTAGCGGAGATGCATCTGTTGGCAGTGTGCATCAGTTGTGTTTCATTCAGAGGACGATTGAAACGGCGGTATAATAATCCCGTTTCATTGGCCAGCTGCCCTGTCACATGTGTGAACGCACGGGTCGACTATCCGAACAGTGAGTTCACGCCTCTGCAGCGTGAGAGTGAAGAGAGAAACATGAAGGTGAGTCGCTCAGGGCGACGAAGCAGCGGGGATCAGAAACCTGTTTTTACATCTTTAAGAAAATCGAATTTGAAATTGTTATCGCAAGATTCATGATCAATATCGCGGCGTCAGATTTAGTCATTATCATGTGACCCGTGACTGAGTTTTCAGTGGCGTTGATTTCAGTCTTCATACGGTTCATTATGTCTTTAACTCCACTGAAAATATACTTGTGGATTTTATAGTGCGTCCAATAGATCCGGCTGGGCTGAACGGCGTCCCGCTGGATAGCACGGTGGCATCGCTGCAGGTTCGAACCCCAGGTCGTCCCGGATGTTCTGTGTGTTTGCGTGTTCCGCTGCTCCCTAAGGGAAGCGTTAAATGCAGAGAATGAATGGTGGCGATGGAGCAGTGGATAAAACACATGCCTTTGAAATGGGTCCAGGTTCAACTCCCCACTGTGACCCGTCCACCAGCGTGTCCCTGAGCGAGACTCTTAACCCCTCGTTGCTCATAAAGAGCAGCTGTAAGTCTCTTTGGATAAAAGCGTCAGCGAAATGAATAAATTTAATGGTGATCGGAGCAGATCAGGAGAACAACGTCCCCTTTCAACCATCTGACCTTTACTGTTGCTGATGTTCTACCTTTCCTTGTGGAGAACCTAAAAACAGTTTGATGCCAACAGAAACAAACTTTTCTGTTTTCACAGACGAACATCATCATCAGGAGGGGGAGGAGTCAGAGAGGATGGCGTCTCAGTTCTGCTGGATTCACCTTTGGATCCTCATCCAGCTGTTCAGGAACATCTCGGCTGACCCGGGTTCACCGCGCTACACCGTCCACTTCAACCAGGTTAACTACGACCAGGCCATGCAGGCCTGTTTCCCCGGCGTCCTCACCACGTTCGCCACCGAGCAGGAGGTCGCACACGTCCTCGGGCTCATCGCCAAGTCAGTGGCACCTCTGAAGCAGAGCAACTTCACCCTCTGGGTCGGGCTGAGGAAGGTCAAGGACGAGTGTGTCGTCCCCGAGCTGCCACTCAGAGGGTTCAAGTGGACGGACGGCAGCGAGGAGTCGGAGGTGAGCCGCTGGACGAAGGAGCCAGAGGAAACCTGCACCTCGGTCCTCTGTGCGGCGCTGAACGGGGACTTAGGCGGGTCGACGGTGACCAGGTGGAGTCTGAGCCCTGTCACCTGTAGGAAGGGTTACGGGTTCATCTGCAAGCTGAGGACAGGAGGGACACCTGAGCCCGCTGTTAAACCTGCTACACCAGAACCAGCGACACCTGGACCTCAACCTGCTACTAAAGGACCAGCGACACCTGGACCTCAACCTGCTACACCAGAACCAGCGACACCTGGACTTCAACCTGCTACTAAAGGACCAGCGACACCTGGACCTCAACCTGCTTCACCAGAACCAGCAACACCAGATACTGACCTGAAGTCTACAACTGGACCTAAACTGCAGGGACCTGACCCTGATCCTAAAGCAGTACCAGGGTTGGACCCGTGTCAGCCCCCCGTCATCCCTCGTGCCCGTTCCCTCATTCCGGACCCCAACGACAGCCGCCGGATCCAGGTGCAGTGCTGGTTCCCCTTCCAACTGGACCTGTCCTGCTCGGGCCGTCCTGCTGTGTGGCGGCTCCTGGACGGGTCCCCCGCCAACTTCTCCGCCATCTGCCAGCCGTGTGAGGCCGGTTTCCAGAAAGACCCTTCAGGAGACTGCGAGGACGTGGACGAGTGCCGCGGCGGCGCCCGCTGCAGGCACGGCTGCCTGAACACCGAGGGCTCCTACAGGTGCGTTTGCTCCAACCAGAGTGGGGAACACCACGACGAGGACTCGTGCGCAGACATGGCGCCAAATGGCGACAGCAGCTTGATGACGGGTATCCTGATCCCGGCGCTGGTTGCCGTGGCGGCGCTGGTGCTGCTGGTGGTGGTCATCGCGGTGACGGTGAAATGCTGCCTGATGAGGAGGTCGAAGAAACGCGCCATGAAGAAGGCGGAGAAGATGGCGATGAGGAGCAAGGATTCCTTTGAAACAGCCAATGAGAAGGTAGCAACATGAGAGCTGTGATTGGTCGAAGGCATTTCACCGCAGTGACATCATCAACGCCAACATTTACAGTTTGGTTCACAGGAAGTAGAAAAGTTCATTTTTCAGTTTAAAGAGTTTTTATATTTTTGCTTTTTCACTGATGCCAGAAACTCACCCGGAATCCTCTCACCTCATTGGCTGATTTAAGATCACCTGAGCACAGTGCATGTCATGGTGATCCCTGCGCTCTGTCTGACAGGCAGCAGACTGACTGACACATTTACAAGTTTATATTTACTCCATGTTACTAAATATATTCTGCTGTTTTCATTGGTTCATTAACGTCAGTTTCACATTTAGAAAACGATTTACATTAATCCGTTATTGATCAGTTCTTATTTAGTTTGTTTGCTGTGATGATAAATAACAGGAAACATTTTAAAGTCTCTGAATTTTGTTTTTTAATGAATCGAAATTAATTATTTATAATAAGATTAGAAAAGTATTAGAATGATTAGCATATTTAATGATCATTTTAAATCAACACATTGTTTTTTAAAGCATGTAAAGTTTTCTTTTATAAGTAAACAAAGACAAACTTGTTTTTCAGCTGCAGAATAAAACGCAGTGTTTGAACGTTTCTGTGTCTTTTATTCTGAAACTTTAACTTTTTAAAGGGAGAATCCTTTATGATCATGTCAACGTTTCCACTGATCAGTAAAGAGTTTTTCAATAACGTTTCACAGATTTCAGTTTGAATGTGCGTCGTTCATTAGTGTTGCTGGGCAAAACTCCACCCGGCCAAAAGTATGTGGACGGCCTCCCATCACCCACACAGGGCTGGTGCGCTCAGCCGTCCACATACTTTTGGCCGGTCGGGGTTTGTGTTGGACAGGAAATGGCCGCTGCGTGTTTACTACCCGGTTTCCTGTTTCCTGTTGTTCTGACAGGAAATGACACGATGAAGGTCACGTGACTGATCAGCTGGACAGATTAGAGACTTTTTACTGATGTTTTATTTTCACAATCATGTTTTACTCTGAAACTTTTCTTGTTAGATTTATTATTTATTTCCTTTTTATTTTCTGTCACTGACTAAAGTTTTCAGTCCAACGTTTCATCAGCAGTATAATAATTATAATGATATAATACGCAGTATAATA